ACGCATATCTGATATTCGTTTCGAATCTACTTTGGGGTTCTCCCGGCAGTAAACCCATTAGGTTCTACTGCACTGGGAGTATGAGCACGTTCCGCTAGAGTTTTCCAGATGTTTTATGACACTAGTACAAATAATTATGAGCAGGAAAGTATTGAAGTCTTAAATACAATTTTCATGACATTACTTGTCAGATATTTTATTGCCTTACTAAACAGAGTCTCTTATTCTCAAACAATAAGCACTGAGATAATGTTGAAAATATAATTGTTCTATGATTTAAAATAACTATAATAATAAAAAGTCTGTTCGTCGCATGCAAGAATTTATGAATATACGAGGCCAAATGTATTTATTGCAAAAGAAAATTGTACTATTTTTGTAAATTTTATAATTATTTATAATTTAAAATTATAAATGTTTATTATTTAGAAATACAAAGCAGAACGTTCTGTATTTTAATTATTTTATCAAAACAATTTGCAAATAAAGGGTGTTTCTAATAAAAAATAATAAATTTATCAGTTCTAAAATTTGGTTAGCTAACAGCAATAGTACAGATAAACATAATTTAAAATGCCAAAAAAGTATTAAATTGGTAAATTTCGACCTTGATGTACTCGGCGCGTCTTATTTGATGGGTAAATAAAATAAGTAAGTCAGCAGCTGAAAGCAAACACGATCTCAGTTCATCTATCAAATAGTTCAAAGTTATTTAGTAGTCCAATTTTGAGAGAAACACCTTTTCTCCCAAAATTATTATCGTTTTATCATTTTATTTGTTTTTACATTTATTCAATGGTGTTTTAATTCGATCATAAAATCGATGTTCTATATTTATCGTAGTAATTTCGCCTATAGTATTTCCACGCCTATTTGTTATATTAGAAAGTATTTTACTATTGCTTATCCAGCTGATTCATGCATTGATAATTAATGATCATCGCAGTGACACTCGATAATCTACACAAATACCATATCAATACTAATATATAGCCTAATTCTTAATAATATGCCATAGACTGGCTAAAATATGTCTGTACTACTATTATTATTTTATGGCTACTGTTTGTATCATGTCATTGCTATATAGCTCCTTTTTTATTTTATTAAATCTGTTTACGCTCACAAGCTTCTCATTCATTGATTATTAGTTCGCATATCTATTTATTATTTATTATTATTTTATTATCGTGTGCTTCTTTCAGAAGTAACAAAAACAATTGTTAAATCAATATAGTATATATTGATCTTTCTCAAACTAGACGTATTTTTATAGTTTTTAATAATTTTTATTATATTTAAAATTTATGTACACAATATGCATTACTAATCTAATCAATTTGCAGGTACAAAGTGTAAATAATAAACATTTTTCATTTTATAATTTCAATACAAATTGCAATATATTTGGTCATTTTTTTAATAAGAACGCATTCGATAGCATTTTTTTTTCAAAATATGATACGAAACCGTCAAAAAATCCTTTGAACATTGTTTATGTAATATCAACAATGATATATTATTTACATATGAATAATTAAAAATTATCAATTTCTATCTATTACTATCAATAACTCCATTAATATTTCTACAATTAATTTTTTAAGTAATAATTTTACAAGGTACTGAATCAAAAGAATTGAATTTAATAATAATCCTAAATAAAAATTAATAGGTAAGATTATAACGAAGATGAATATATATCCAATTTAATAATTATAATAATGTGGTCATTTAAATTTCCTTATGTGAGATATAAAATCGATCATGCGAAAATTATTTTCTCTATACTCAAAATTTATATCGAGTACGATCTTCTTTTAAGCCACGATTATAACTTTGTAAATAAGTTTGTTAAGGCATCAATGTATACAATTTTATTTTCTATGAGATAGAATTTCTCATTCTTAATATTTATAAAGCACGATATAAGTTTAAAAATTTACATATTGTAAATTTATATAATATATTTTATTCGCCTGAAATATGGATATTTATTTATTTAGTTTTTTAGACACATTTATTAAAAAATATTAATTTCTGGGTATTTTATAATTTTTTAAGAACAATAAAATAAAAATTATTAATTTAAGTAATACATTAAAAACTAAAAATATTTATTAAGATATATTTTGTTCTTGAAATATAAATAAATGTGACAATAATACCTCCAAATTATATGTAATTATTTTACTATCAGAAATAATTCAATTTGAAAATAAATACTAATAGTCATTTTATTTAAAAATTAATATTTATATTTAAAATTATTTAAATAGACTTTTTAATAAAAATATACAAAAATATTTTTAAAGTGATTTAGTTTAAGAAGAGAAACCATGTTCAAATTATATAGACAAAATTATACAATTCATTGATAATTACAAGAAAGATCAATAAATGTATTATAAAATTTAAAATAATGTTTCCTAGTAAAGTTTACAAAATATAATTTTTTATATCATGTACATTCGATTATTCTAGTTAAAAGGTAATCATTCATATTTTACACATTCTATCAGTTAAGTTTGAAATACATTAACTTATCTATTGTAATAATTTTAAATATTTAAATTAAATAAATTTAATAATGTGACTTGACCTCACACGCAATAATAGTATTATGCATCAAAATTTTTATTTAAATAATACCTAATTTTGATAATAATTTTATGTAAATTTGAACAATGTATGCAATCATATTTAAGGAGCAACGAACGGAGAAGAAAATTAGTCTTGTTGAATAATTCAAGTGAAATTAATGCTAGCCGCCATACCAGTGAAAGTTGAACTCGTCTAAGGGAATCCGTGCAAGGTATATTTATTTGTTTATATTGATTACTCTATAATTGCTGGCCAGCTACCGGTGCGTCCTCCGCAACGATAGTCAGACCGCATTGAGGACGACGACATAGACTGGCATCTCCTTAACTTATTAATACTACACGTAACTATGCACCTACACTATCCGCTAGGCCCTTGCAATTTGATTCTTATCAGACCGCTAAAGAGGGCGTCGACAATCCGTAATAGCCCCCACTACCTCCACGAGCCGAATCACGCTCAGTAAAATCTATCGCCGATTCAAACGCCTAAGCAGTCGCGAGCCGGACAACGCTCAGTAAAATTCTAGCGCCGGCTCAAACGACTAGGTATTCGCGAGCCAAACAACGCGCCGTAAAATTGATTGCCGAATTAGTCGTCAAAGAAGTCGCAAGCCCAACAGGGTTCTCTGGAAAACCATGGTCGAGTCAACTGTCTAACGATTCTCGAACCGGAGAGACTCCTTTAATTTAGGGACTAAAACACGTGCCCAATACTCCCAATTCACCCTTTAGACTTGCACTCCCAAACGACGTTCCAAGGTTCATGGTCAACTGCCTAATCAGTACGAATTCAACAATTCTCACTACAATCAGTAACACCAACACCACTGTAACAACTGCTTAAATAAAGGTCACTAAACCAATTGTGCTTACTCCTAATTGATGCTTTAACCTCTCACTTATCCCTCCCCCCTCCCATCACCATTAAACCGGCGGTACGGTCTAATCCACTCACCGTGATCTGCGATCAAACTGGTGGCTGGCCAGCGGCATCGTGTATGTTTTTTTGCATTCATATGCTTATGTATACTTAATTAATAATAATAATTATAATTAATAATAACAATAAAATTTTTAAGTGTGCAAATTTAATATATTTTATAAATTATAAAAATAGAAATATTATGTATCTTGGTCTAATTAAGGTGTTTTAATAGCAGTTAATGTTAAAATTATGTAACTCATAATTCAATAGATATGAACTACATACATGAAGTTTACCATATATTTTGTAAGTTTTACAGGCATCATTAAAAATATAATTGAACATCTTAAATGAATAATTAAATACTGCGAATTTTTAAATTTTAAGTTGTTTTTTATGCATTACTGGCCATATAAATTCTTGAAGACTAAATAATGTAAAAAGTTTTGCAAGATAGTAGATGAATAATAAGAGACATGGTAATGTTATGACTATTATAAATCTACTAATTGCACTACCAATGTCGAGCCAGCTGCCTTCGGTAGTAATGCTGAACATAAACGGTATCGCTAGGCAATCGCCTAAGAGTAGCACAGTTGAAAAAATAGTTAAATCCGGTGTTATAACATGGACCAAACATCCTACTAATATCAATGGTATAGTAATTTTTAAAATAATAAGAGCTGCCATTGAAAATGGTGAAAATACTGTTAGAAAGTGTTGTGTCCAAAATGGATCGAAGGAGCTAATGCTTGCAATGTTACCTGTGCCAAAAAAACAAAGTAACATATAGAACATCTAATTTAAATATTGTTAAGGATATTCGTTAGTTTATTAGATATTATTTTATGAAAATAATTATTAATAAATTAAATTACTGAAAATTTAGAATGTTTTTGTGTATGTATTCAAATACGGTCAAAAGTTGGTTAATATATGTGAATTTAGGTTTTTTTGAATATATGAAGTATTGGTTTTTTTATTTATATTGATTTATATTTTATTATGCACGTTAAGCAATCGGTATCATTTTTCCAAGCACTTTTTTGTTAAATATAAATACTTATATAACATTGAATTTTTCAACAAATATTATAAGATTAATACAGAAATTTAATGAGTAAATTTTATTGAATTTTAATAGTAAATTTATGTTCTTTGCATATTTTCATTATTGGTCTCATACTTAAATAATTATTTTAATAAGTTCTTTATTCTAGCCTATCATTATTCTTTGTTTTTCTAATCATAATGTGTAGCAATTCAAGCGAAAGTATATTCTCTATTAAAATTGATTAAAATATTTACTTTACATTTCAAAACAAATCAAGAAAATGTTATTTGTATATTACAAAAATGTTTTATATTTTTTTCTATTATCATCCTATCTTCGCAATAAACATAATTTCGGAAAAATAATTTTTAAATCTATTATAGCCTTTCTTGTACATAGTTGAAAAACGGTTGATGAATAACGTAATAATCAATTAAATAAAAAATAAATTGTTGTTACAGTTTCTATCTGCATTAAACTTTTTTTTTCACTATTTTTATAACTTTAAAAATTACTTAACTTATTAATTTCCAAATGTTTATTAAAATTTCAATCAAAGGAATAATAAACCTTTTTCCTAATATTCAAGTAATGTGCAATAGGTTTTTTTATAAAAACCAAAATTAATAATTTTGCTTATCATTATTATTCAATTATTGCGAATTCATGTTTCTTAATCATACATATTCATTCTTTTGATTACGGTTAATAGGACTAAAATGTTTCATAAACATATATAACATTAGTTTAACTAAGTAATATAATTAAAAATTTATATAAATATCAATAATTATTATAAAATTATAAATTTATAAAGGATACAAGAATAACTGTAATACTGATTTTTCTAAGATTCAAAACTTTCTTATCAAATGTTGAGTTTTGTAAGCACTCATATATTGTCCAATATTGTAAATGAGTTGTAAAAATAAAAAAAAATAATGTTTCATATGAAGTGGATAAAAGAGAATAAGGACTTAATAAAGCCATAGAAATACCAAAAAATCTTTGGTTCCAATCATTTGGATAAAGCCAAATTACAATTGGTGTACTTAAAAGTATACACCATGATAACCAAGATTTTCCATCAATAAGGTTTAAACATAAAAATAATGTAAATATGATACGAATAAGTTCAATGACTTTATTATATTTATAAATTTTTTTGTTTTTTATTATTAATACTATACTGATGCATAATACTATTATTCTGAAATAAATATTAACAAATGTTATAAATTGATTTAAGAGCAGTATAATTTTTCATTAATTTTTAATTTATAATCTTACACAATATATATTTTTGGTTGTAATCCAACTGTTGGTAAAAGTGGAAAAACTGCAAGAGTAAAACCAGTTAATATAAATTGGGATCTTGCAATTTTATTAAACATAAACTTTAATAGTATAGTTGTCAATAGCATGCTGATGCTAAATGTCCATCGGTATTTTAGACCAATAAATATCATAATAATTAGGAAAATAATACTTATAAATTCAATCATAGATTTATTGTAATTTATTTTTAAAATTAGTTTTTTCTTAATTACTTCCCTAAATGCAAGCCATACCGATACTATACTAATAATACCATAACATAGTATTCTCCACTCTTTGCAATCTGCAACTAAATTATTTTAATTAGAACAAAAATTTTACATTTTATTTCCAAGCCAAATAATTTACTATGTACACTCTTGATTCTAATCTAATCATTTAATATTCAATAATTCTTCAATATGTCAAAAAAATTATTGCATTGTAATAAAGTTTATCTTTTCTTTTAAAAAATTGCAATTTCATTATAAACAAATATTTAAAAATTATATATACCTATATATTCAACCATAAGAAAAACAATTGCAACTATTAAGATTGAATTAGCTAATAACAACCATGAATAATATCCTAATTCAATTTCATATCGTTGTACACCAGATGAGTTAATAAAGAGAAATGTGATCCATCCAAACCACATGAATACTAAGCAAATAAAAAATCTATTTGTTTGATAACGTCGGTAGTACGTAAGACTTTCTTTCGCTAATTTAATAATGTATTTAATTTCAGGAATACATTCATCAATTTGTTTTAAATTGAATAATTTTTCAGCATTCAAAAGTTTATCAGTTAATTCTTTGTCTTTCCAGTACATTTTAACTATGCTTTTACCAATAGTTAATTCTCTATTAGCCTTAACTTGTTCAGCAAGCTGTTTAGCATTAGTTAGAAAAGCATTAGCTATAAACTCTTTATATTTTAAATCTAAGAACTTATAAGGAAGTACTCCCTAATATTAAAAAAAATAAAACACAAGTTAATTATAAAATATAACAAAGAAATAATTTTGTCTTACTTCATTATTAATTGGTATAGGTATTCCAATCAGAGTTGAAATAAGGGGCGTAATATCAGTTTGTTCAATATGATATAAGTGAGAATCATTAGTTATTCCAGCTCCCCATGCAACAAATGGTGTTTCTGTTTCATCTGTTGAACCACTTCCATGTGAACCCCAATCAGTCATTCCATGATCTGATGTAAAAATTCCAAACAAACAATTGGAATTCCAAACAATAATAATCATTAATTTTCCATGTTTAAAATAAATTAATATTTTTAACTATTCTTCATATATATTTTAATATAACATAATTTAAATTCACTGCCCCTTTTCATTTTGATCTTTCGTTAAAAAAACAGGTTAAATTATAGAATAATATAAATAAAAATGAAATATTTAAAAAAATAGGGAACAGTAAATGAAAACAATAAGTATTCATATATATATATATATATATATATATATATGTATATTAATAAAATGAACACAAAAATATGTTTCAAAATCATAAGCTTCATTCATTTTATTTGATCAAAAATTGGAAGTAACCTAATATTAATTTACACTTCAAATAAACTTAGAAAATATCTTGTCAGAAAAAATTTAATAAATAACTTAACGTAATTATCAATATCGTTGAAATTATAGGTGAGACTGATTTAACAATTGCATTTATTATTCTTAGAGGTGTAAAATATAGTCCATTATAACTTTGTAAATATGATATGTATTGACGAGTTGCCAGATATTTATGAAGGAAATGATAAAAGGACAACTACAGTAGAAATTCCCAATTATATTTAGTTTATTAGTTATTTCGACGGAAGTCATCAAACTTGAAAATTTAATAAAAATATTCACAGTGAGCATTCTTTCATTTGCTCTTTCACGTACTTTCGCACAATTTTCGCTTCGTTGTGATTGCGCACATTTCTAGTGTAAACACCGTTTAGCAAACTTGGTATTGATATAATTTAGCTTGGCAATATTTTTAATTCTATTATTTTAAAGATCAAATTGGCTTAGATATTTCAATACGAATTATCCTAGCGTATGCTTTTATATTTCAAACTATCTCTTCGTTAATTAATTTATTTTCATTTTCACTATTATGTTTATATATATGTAAATTATGTACAGAACAGGCACTTACTTAAAACAGTTACGAGAGATAAAATTGTTGAAATGCTCAAAGGAAAACTTTCGTTTTAATTATTCTATTTGTATTAAATAAAATATGTGTTGACATATTTTCAATAAATATTTAAACAAAATATTACATCGAGTTTATTGGTGATAATACATGCGTACAATGAAGAAATTTATCAAATTGTTAAATTATTCATATAAATTAAATAGTAATTAAGCAGAAATAAATTTTGAACCCATTATTCGACAAAAAACGGAAAATGTTACTCCCGTGTTAACTACTTCAAGTAGGATACTCAGTCCTGCTGTTATTTCAATTTCATTCTTCTTACAGTTAACCAGCGGCATCGTGTATGTTTTTTTGCATTCGTATGCTTATGTACACTTAATTAATAATAATAATTATTAATAGCAACAATATTACATTGATACGAATAGAAAATCATGATTTTCGGAATTGACTTGATTCCATTTTATAGTCAAAGGAATCAAAATTTATTCCTTGAATGTTAGTCGTCATTAATTATTATTTATGTTTTTTTTTATTTGTTTTTTTTTGCATTCTGGTTTACAAAATCCAGTTATCGTTCTCTCATATCATCACACAAGCCACAGTAGTTTAGCAATTTATCGGTTAACCATAACAAATTCTTCATTCTTATTGTAATATTCGTATATATATATGCTAGTCTCCATTCTCTTCATTTTGTTGCTTCTTTATTGCGACTTTAGATTCTGAAGATGGCATTTGATTCAGTCGAGTATGACAACCATGTCGTCCGGTCGTACCACACGCTGAGGCACGTTTAATCGACGCCAAGGCTTACGAGCTGCACGCCGTAGTTCTATCGATGACAAGCTCCTTCTAATTCTTCTGCAAAATTAATGGTATTAAAGATTTAGTGATTTTTTAAAACTACTATTCTAAAATACTTCTATAGGTTAATCAATAAACTATTTTAACGTAGATTGTTTGATATAAGGAGGAATAAGTCATCCATTTGTTCAATTTACTTAGTTTGGTCTGTAGCGCGGAAGTAAACATCGTCGGGTGCATCCATCCAAGACATGACTTGTTTCCGAGCATTACTACGAGACATCTGACCCTGTATTGGTATTATATTCGAATGACCAGTGCGTCCATTGAGTGGTGCAGTAAGAGGTGAAAGGGTAGCTGGGACCATTGCAGTCATTGGACTTACACCAGCTGCTACCACAGGAACATTTGTACTTAAGTGTTCAAGAGAAGTGCGCGCATTACTATGAAGCGGTTGTAGATGCTGAGAACGTTTAGTTGGCGGTTGCCCACTCGATACCAGCGCGTTTAAGCCAATCCCTGTTTTCACACCAAAATCTTCAAGTTATTTGAAGTTGTTATTTATGACATTTTAAATCAAGATCATAAGAGATCATACTTTTATTAAATCTACTTTATAAAATAGTTCGTTTTTACATTAAAAACTTTTACAATATAAAATTGATGTGATAGACAAAACTCATACAAAGCTGGAATTTATGCTTTACACTACAAAAATAATTAATTATGTTAAAACAGATTTATATTAAATATTTTAAATTCGATATTTTAGTATTTGTAAACTCTATATTATTCATGTTTACAAATAATTTTTGAAAATATTTTAAATCGAAATAAATTTTTTTTTTGTACGCATTCCAATATGTACAATCAAAAAAGCTAAAAAAATCTTAATTCAGTGTAAAAATATTAATAATATATTTAAATATCATTTCATCTTCAAAGAAATTAACTCAAAAATAGGATTTACCGTCAGCACCATTACTTTCATCAAATGGAGGCCTTGTACGTTTTAAAATATTTTGCTGTGCTTGTAATGTAGGTTGAATTGGAGGTGTAACAGGAAGTCGATCAACTTCTGGTTTATTGGGAACTTTTTCATATAGAAGACTACCATCTGCAAATATTTAGAATAACAAATGATTCAAATAAATTTGAAAATATTTTAATGATAATATATTGAAATTATTACATTATAAAATATATTAAAAAATCATTTAATACTTTCAAAATTATTACTAGTTTTGAAAGATATATAAATAAATATCGATATGCATCTGATATAATTTGTAAACTTAAATTTAAGTATAAGAGTTAATTGTTATAATATAATATTATATGTTAAATATAATATTGATTCTAAAAGTAAAAACTTGATTAAAAAATAAAAAGTACAACCAAAGCTCCTATTCGTCGCTTGATATAATTTAATGAAGGTAAAGATTTACCTGGTGCCTTAGGTGGTCGAGGGAAAGACACACGATCAGGTTGTTTACGTTGTCCAGGAGCAGTGAGTTGTAGCCAGTCCCAATCTCCAGGTTGTCTAGGTTGGGGATGGTCACCGAGTCGAGTAGCAATGTCGGTGACACGAGGTCGAACTCGTGGCCGAACGGCGCGAGCCAAAACTCGTAGTTCTGCAGGTGTTTTATTAGCTAGCTGTGGTGAAGCACAAAGATGACGTAAAGGAACAGCGTTAACAGGTTGATGTGGGGCACGTGCTACATGTCTGCTACGAAGTTGACCAGCGCAAAGGCGCCGAGCAGCGCGAGCTAGGGTCGATGTGCGAAGATAAAAAGCTGAACGTGTTTTCATAACCGGTCGCGGTGAACCACCGCCTCCCAAACCTGAAAGTAATGCTTGTTACTAATCTCTTACTATTTTTACAATAATTACAACTATTAATAATCGTATCAAACATCAAAATATAATTTCATGCATTTTCAATGGTAAAGTCTGATGTATCCTATTCTGATTACTTATAACATTTGTATAACCAGAAATCTTATAATTGCAAAGTTTACAAAAAACTTTTTTTGGAATTCAAGTATATATTGATTATGGTATATTTGAACAAAAATCCTTAGTATCTCTTTTTTTAAAGATCTTGTTAATACAAACAATAGTTTTAATAGATTTAAAATCGATTAAAGTTTTATTCAATTTTATACTATATTCGCTCAATCATTTAAAATTTATTAATTCACAAAATTCATCAATTTTCCTTTATTTAAAACAATCAATTTTTTTACCTATTCCAAGTCCAACTCCAATTCCAGATACAACATTCCCAGGTCCAGTATTACCACGTAAATCTACACCATGCGCACTAGCATAGTGACGACTTAAATGTGCTTTGAGTTTGAATTCTTTACCACAAGATGGGATACTGCATCGATGAGGTCTATGAGCACCACCAATACCCTTACTTTCTTCATCTGAACCACCACCGCTCCGCTTACGATCAGCATCAACATCATCAATTCGTGAGGGTATCTAAAAAATTTTCATCTTAAGCCTTTACCATCTCTTTTTTTAAATTTATATTACAAATAATTATTCTACACTTTCCATTTAAATCACATATTTATTTGAATACCGATTATTGGTTTGTATTGAAAATTAATAATACATTAATAATTGATAAAGATACACCACAGAAATTTCGCAATTCAATAATCAAATAATCAATGTGATTGAGAAAAAATAATTTACTATTAATTTATCTACTAAATTTTACCGCTAAGATAGTTTTAATTATTTTATATGTATTTAATAAATAATTCACATTTAATAAATATTAATAAAAAATATTAGCATGTTAATAATAAATATATCTGGAATAGAATAAAATAACTTTTAGTTATTATCCTGCAATTAGTCCTTTCTTACTAACTTCTATAGAACTTCTTAATACATTTTATATTGAATTAACCATTTTCACTGTTTTTTTACAAATTTATTTTGAAATGTGAAACTCGCAGGTAAACATTTAAATACAATTGATACATACCTTTAAACCCCCATACTTTTTCCAGTAAGTCCAACAGGTTTGACATAGGCGACATTGCACGTGTGAAGGTCCCCATGCATACCATTGGGAACTTTGTATTGACTGACAACTCTCACACGGCTTACCGCTTGCTGAAACCATAAGCATAGCTGCGGTGTCGGCACCGATATTACCATTGCTGCTGTTACTGCCATTGAGTAAACTAATTGTAGCCTTGCTTCCATTACTATTTGTGTTGTTATTGATACCAAGAGGTATGATGCTGGCTTGACCAGCAACGAGGCCGCCAGCTGCGTTTTTATTATAGTTTGGGATGTAAACCTGCTTTAGTTTACTTTCGGCCTCCACAGCTTTCACACGTTTCTGCTGTACGTAACGATCCGTTGTCTTCCACATGTAATAGTATTCAATGACGTTCTTTAAAGTTTTCCATGGTAACTGAAATTATGTGATTGAGATGAAAATATAATACGGTCGAAAAAGAACTATTCAAGAATCCATAAAAAATGTATGATTATTTATTTCAAATATTCGATAATAAAATAATTTATCAATTAGATTATATATATATATATATATATATATATATATATATACGTTCATTACATTTATCATGATAAAACATAAGTACTTTTTCTGTGTTACTTATTTTAGAACATTAAATAATTGCTTTAGTCTTTTATTGGTTTTATTGATTTAAGTTCAAGCATATCTATTTAAAGCTGCTTTTTCAATAAAAAAAGAGGAATGCCAGTTTATATTTACTCCGTGTTTATATATGTGTGCGCGCACACGTGAGAGTAAAAAAAATTTCTTAATTAACATATTCAATATTCATATGTAATAGGCCTTAACACATGAGTTTAATTTGTATTTAAATCATTACTCATTTAAAAAATTGGTTTATATATGAATTCAATTTCTATATAGTTAATATAAATTATTATAAGAAAAACGTATATTTTACTTAATAATTACTAAACAATGTAAACAAAAAAAAGAAAGATTTTATGGTATTTATTTTTTAATGAAAAATAAAAATTAATTATGTAATAAACTTACAAAATCTTGACGAATATCTGAAAAATCTTTTCCATATTTATCTAAAGCTTCCTCAAATAGATTTGCTTCTGAAGCGCTCCACTCTTCCATTTCATCTCTACACAGAACTGGGCCGGAACTAGGTACCAAAGAAGACATAGCTTTTGCGACATCATAATTATGTCGATGTAAAGTATCCATTGCGTGAAACTATTTTAAAACAAAATTATGCAGGTGTTACAAAATGATAAATTATAATTTTTATTATAACTTTTATTGACACTCTTGTGTTTTTCTATTATAAATATTTAATAAATACCAACCAATGAACCAAAATACTTTTACTTGCTCTTTTTATAAAAATCAACACAGCTAACAACTTTTTACAAAAAATATTCTAATAATGTAACAGATATTCTATCATCTTGTTGTTTCTATTAATATCTTATCAAGATAATTCAATTAAAAGTAATGAATAATCAACAATATTTTTATCGAGCATTTTAAATATTTGATAATGCTAAGAATTTTATTTGAATTAATAAAAATTTTACGTAATTTTGAAACTATTAACACGTATTCATTACTTTTCTATATACAACTACTAAACACAGAATTTTCTGCTTTAGTTTTTAAGATTTATTTTTCATTTGTAACCGTTTCTAAGTTTTGTCTACATGAATAAATAATATTATTTTTATAGTATTTCGACGCATTTGAACCGAATTTCATAGTTCATATTCTAGTATTCATACATTTTATGAAGATATATTTTATAAATTTTAATCGGACAAAAAAAACATGAATGTACCAATGTAATATCTCTGGAAGCTGCAGCAGCAGACATGTGGAGTGAAGGTTGTTTGACTGAGGACGAGCAGTCCAGAGCGCGTGCAAACGTACCAACTGATCTACTAACTACTAAAAACTGATCAATTTGCCGATCAGTAAGAGCGTGGCGAGGTGTCCAGATGAGCGTTTCCAAATCATGTAGTCGGCGAGGATCAGAATCACGCTCAACCGTCGACAATGGCGTAGTAGCTATGTTATCTGCTTGATATCTACTGCCTACTCTTATCTCGCCTTCAATACAGATATAGAAATAAAAATAATTAATTAATTTGAGATGAAATTTAAAGCTGATAAATGAGATAGACACAACAAAAAAAATTTCATTTAATAAATAGTAAATTGATAAAATCAATAAATATTAAATCAATTAAATCAAATAAGTAAATGAGTAAATCAATAAATTATTTATGTTGTTATTATACCGTAGAATACATATTCAACAATTAAGAAAAAAAAGACTAATAAATAAGAGAACAAATTATGTATCGTGTTACATTTATAAAATTTTACAAAAAAAAAACATGAAATTGGAAAAAATAAAGAAAGAAATAAAATAAGAATATATGAAATATCAAATGGATAGAGGTATCTAAAATGCTTGAATACTTACCTTTGTCAGCGAGCAAAGTACGCTGAGCTGGATCAAAGACAAGGCAGTAAAAAAACGAATCCTCCTTGTTAAGATAACTCAGAAGCGATTCAGTCTCATTGAGTAGCGTAACACAACATTTACCCCGTATGTGGGTGGCTGGCATTGTTTCGACTTGTCGCGACAGGAAGAGCTCACGGTGTTTCATCTGGTGACGTTGCTTCGAGCTCAGATCCCCGACCCCACCAATACCGCCAATACTACCGATTCCTGGACCGAGATTTACATTGCCGGCGGTACCACCACCACCTACACCGCTCGAATTATCCTCCACCCCTAAAAATAAATCCAGATATTAAAAACGTTTTGGTCGAACCATCAAATTTATTATACTTCACATCTGTAAAAATACTAGACAACTTACGTGATTATTTAGAACTAAAAACATTTTCCTGTTTTAGGAACAATTTATTCATAAAAACACATCAAACTATTTAAATTTGTACTCAACTTTTTCTTAATAAAATTTGCTTGGTCATAAACTCAATTTTATAAACATTTTACTTTATATATTAAGTATATTATCGAGTTCAGTATATTATCAGTGATATATAGTATGTGGATTTATACTCGTGTGCTTAAAAAAAATTTTATATAATAAATTCTTATAATTTATTGATGCAACTACAGAATATTCATTTCATTTTATTCCATTTATTTCCGGTAAAGTAACATAAATTTAAATGTATAAACAAAAACATAAAAGCATAATAAATAAAGTATCTCTACACAATCACTACTAATTGTGAAAAATGAGCAAATAAAATAATCATGAAACTACAACCTTACACAAATATTAATTAGCTTTCATTCAATTAACATCTACAATTGGTTCAAAATATAATTCTAAATTGAACATACAATGAACAATAAAAAATATATAATTTAAAACTTTTTAATAAATTTGTTTTAAATTAATTTTAAGAAGCAAACAGATATTTCCATCAAAAAAAGACTATGATTACATAAATAAATATTTCTTCTAATTTAGAAAATAAAATTTTACTGTAATTCTGTTCTATTGTATCATTAAAATCCATTTATTAAATTTTAACATTTATTACCATTCATTAAATAAGTGAATAACAGTAAATGAAAAAATTATTATAATTAAAAATTAGAAAGATTTACTTTATTTCATTATAGTCTTCTGATAATGAAAATGAATTTTTTATTATAATTATATTATCCATGTTTATAAGGATATATTTTCTGTTAATATTTTTATTTTACATTAATAATTAATTTGCTGAAAAGCTAATTAAAGTTGTAAATATATTCCTAATAAGTATACAATAGAGTTACAAAATTAGTTAAATGGGCCCTACAAGATTTTAAAATATATTTTAAATACTATGTTTGTAAACCAAAATCAATAAGATGTCACCATACAAAATTCAATCTAATACAATTAATTTTTTGAAATGTTATATAAAAACAAACGTGTATCAACAAGTTATGAGAAATCTACAGTAATAAAAATATATATTTGTTTACACTATTTAAGATTAAATAATGATCAATACTATTTAATAAAGTAACTAATTTTCTTACATAAATTTACTAAATAATATATTTGTATTTTTATTACTGCGAGACATAAAAATTGTTAGTTTTTTCAGTAGGAAATTTATTATAAATTATATTATTTATTTAAATATCATAATAAACTTATAAAATTAAAATTTACACACTTATCGTTTAGAAATTTGAGAAGTAAAGACACATGTCATAAATCTTATTATCAACTATAAGAACATCTTAATTTGTCAAAAATAAAAGTTTATTAAAGGAACTATAATACAAATTAACTTGCCAATATCCACTTACGCATCTCGCTATTTAAAAAAATTCCCCTCCTATATGTATTATAACATAAAGTAAAATGAAAATATTTCAGAATACAGACAATTAAAATTATATCAATATATATCTTCCTATTTTTTTTATTTTAGTTCTTAATACTTTTTAATACTTTGGATTTATTATTTGTTAATAAATCATTTTTATTTTTAAATATTGAAAGTGAGATTTTATTTTAAAATGTTATTCAAAATATTGATATTGTACTACCTTAGACAAAAACAATTTGAATACTATAAGCAAAAATTAATATTTAAATTTTTAATTAGAAAAATTATATATATATATAATTAATTTAGTATCGATAATATACACATTCATAATTACCAAATAAATAATTCTCGAAGGAACATTATTTTAAGAAATAAAATATAGCCGGAAACTTCAGTAACACTTAGTTATATTTTGCAAAATGAATTTCTAGTATTATGAGTAATTTGATGAATTATTTAAAGATTAAAGTTATTGATAAATAAATAAATATATATATATATATATAAGTAATTATCTATTTTAATAACATAATAAATTTCATTAGCATTTATTTTTCTTTCAATATATCGTTTCTTTTGTTTATAAAATAAATGTACAAAACTAATGCGTCAATAATTGAGGCTTTTTAATCCTTTAACAAAATGTTATCACTTGTGAATACAAATTTATAGAATTCTTTTTTGTACTGCTAATATTTATATACCGGATGATTTTCGAAGTTCACTTTCATTTTTAGTGTACTTGCATAAGGCATAAATTAATTGTATTTAATTGTATTTACAACAATAATAATTTCATTTGGGATACCAATAAACTTAATAATGCGTAATAATAAATTGTAGTATGAATACTCTATACAGATCTCTATTATTTATGTACATTTTTGTTATAAAAATATTGATATTTTGAACATATAATCTAAAGACACTCGTTTAAAAGAATACGTATAACAAATTATATAAATATATGGAAACATCAAATAACAATACCAAATATTTAAAAAATTAAAATTCTTATAATAATTGAAAGTAAAAATACATTTTGTCAAAAACGTTTGTATTGAGTTTTATGAAAGCCTCAGATTACTAAAGTGTCCTCACATTGCGACAGGATCCTCGGAATCAATGATAGCGAGATTAGAATAAATAAATACTGAATACAAAACTCTAATTAGACTCTGTGAAAATATTGAAAAAAGAAAATCACCCAATCAATTTGTATTCATTTACAGTTACTTTGTTTGATTAATTTACTTATTTTTTTAGTCTTCACAGAAACAAAACTAGAGTAACAAAAAGATAGAAAAATAAAAGTAAGTAAAAAACAGAAAAGAAGTTCATGTATGGTCATTCCGTTAATAAGGAAGTTGAAAAAGAAAGAGTAAGAGAAAGGCAGAACTATATAAGAAGTCTCCACTATAAAACTTCTAAGGATCTCCTTTTCGCTTCACTCCCCACCCTGTAAATCTCTTTCTCCACGTCCCATAAGGAAAGACCAATATCTTGTCTCTTTGGCCTTACAGCGGAATGCATTAAACTTGCTGCAACCACCAAGATTACAAAGACTATTTTTATAAATATACCGTTGAAAATTTTTTGAGGAATCCTGACGTAGTTTATTGGCAGCCTATTATCATCATTGGCTTTGATTGCATTGGTTTACTCATAATTGTATATAAACACCTAAAATAATATCCTCATATTTTAAAATTTTTTCTTTATTACTTCACAAAATTCTAATTTAATTTTATATAAAATTTTAAACATCAAATGACTTAATGATTTTATATATCTAACTTATATTAGTGATACATGTGTTAGTAATAATTGTATTATATGCTACTTAACGAATTTATACGAAATAAAAAACCTAACGCTTACAATTTTTGTGTCTAATAAAAAACAATAAAAATATGCTCCTTTCATTAATATTCCAATTTCAAAAATATTATGTTTTAAAATAAGTTTATACTTATATCTTTGTAAAATAATAAAAACAATTGTTTCTAAGAAATATTATTAAAGAGATGCATTGAAAGAAAAACAAATGTATCAAAATTTGTTTAGCTTATAGCTTAATAATGATTAAATTATTAGAAATTGTAATATCTTTGTGTGCAAATTCTAACAGGTTACAAAATGGAAATAATCAATTATATCATCATTATATCAAAATAAAATAAATATATACTGTATTGTGTTGATAATATGTGTATATATGAGTTTAAACATCGTTAGAGAAATGCCAGATACGGACTTAATCTAGCATTAAGTAGGAACGAAATTTTTCTTATTTTTAGTTTTATTATCATTTTATTATTATTATTGTTATCATCATTACATCATTATTATTATGAATATTTGTATGAAATTAGAAATAAAGTTTAATTCGGAGCTATATAGTATTAAAAAATACAACTTACATTGTAAACATACAATAGATGGTGGTATGTTTCTGATTTGTTTCTTAAAACTTCAAATATTTATTTACTTTTCGAAAAAAAAAGTTTACAATTAGATTAACAGTAAAAGATGGAAGTGTTGAGAGTGATCTGTTAAAAACAATAAGCAAAAATAACGAATTCATCTAATTTTAATTAGTATTATTTATGGCAAATGAGAACAGTAATAAAAAAGGAAAATATCCAAAAAAAAATTTTTTGTCATTGATTACAAATTTTAAGTTAAGCATAGTGTAGCAGGAGACAATAAAAACCTAACTCATTGTTAGCGAATACGAAAGAAAGCAAAAAGTAAAATTAATTATTATAGATAACAATATCGTTTGAAGAAAGCAAAGGGTATTCCAGGGGCTCGCCCTTCCCGTGCCGCCCCTCACCTACCCCTTGGCGCTTCATGCGATATAGGTGCGGATTACACTGAAGTTGAACTGCTGACTTTGGAACTCACTGTGGGGCACGTGGGCCTCTGCAAATGGGACCTTGAACCAGCCCCCCTTCCCGATTTTACCCTTGTTTATGGGCACTTTAGGTACGGAGCTCCTCTCTGAATTCTCGGCAAACAGCTTCAGGCTCGCGGGCGACTCCGACCTCTGCAACTCCGTCACGCTTGCCACTGCAAATTTATCATCACAACTCTGACTCACGCGCGCAGATGCCCATTTTCCTCATCAGCATTAAAACCAGTGCTACGCAATCGATGCCTCTATATATTCTCATTTATTAATTGATTTTGTTATTTCTATACATATACTATTAATAATCATTTTTAAGACTCGGATTATTAAGCGCCTTTTACAACAGCGAACTTTCATGCCATTTAACTTTAATGGTAAATTTGAAAACTTTAACATCTCACCGCATTCAATTGCGTGTCACTTTCATATAAACTTTTAACTAAATTTTTGGCCCAATAAATCCATTTTATGACTATTTATTATTAGCTATATTTCACTGTCATATTAATATATTAATATTTTTTTAGTTGATAAATTTCATTGTAAAAATGATAAGAAAAACTGCAATATACTATTACTTTTCTAATTATTAATATCTTTATTCTTGAATTTAATTTAATTATGTTATATATTATATAAAATTTTGCCAAATGACAAGCATTTCTGATAAACATAGAATTTCGAATAATTTTTTTATTAATATATACTTTAAGTATAAAAGAGAGAAAGGAAAAATATATATTAAAATATGACCATGATTTTTTCATTCAATATGTATTATTAAAAATAATTAAATTTAAATAATTCCTTACTCGTATTTAAATAAGATTAATAAATGTGTTTTTATTTCATTAAACTTGTAAAATAGAACACTCAGAATACAGTTGAAATTAATATTTTTATTTAAAGATAGCTTTGAAGGTCTATACATCATAAATCAGTAAATTAATATATTACTTATATAAAATGTTTTATTTTAAGTAAAATATTTTATTTTCTAATAATTTTATATTAAAAATTTAATTATTTACAACATAATACGAACAACCACTTTTCCAAAATATACTTTGATTTAAAATTCTGAACTAAGCAACGAATTATTTGATGTCAATATAAAAATTAAATAGTGATAAATCTCCATAGTTTTAAAAATCTACCAATTTTATTCATTTTTAGCTTAATCTATACTTTATATTAAGAGAATTTTTATTCTTTAATAGTAACTTTTATTTTATCTGTAATATTTACTCAGTGATATTTTATTTATAATATTTAATCTAAATTAATTAAAATTGATTTTAGAAGAATTTAACGCTAATAAAAGAAAATGCAGCATAATTTACAGTGATCCAAGAAATTCATTGTTTTTACTTTACGTTCACTTGTATATTTTTTTATACGTAGACAATATAAGAATATATTCACAATTAATATAATTTTTTTTAATTTTGCAAATATTTTCATTACATTAAGAAATTTTATAAATTATTTACATATATTATATTTTTTTAAATTAACGATGTGTAATGATAATACAATATTAATCAATAGTATTGCAGTATTAATAAACAATTCATATATCAATAAAATACTAAGTCAAATTAAAATATTAATAATGAAGATATGTTTGTTAGAAATACATATAGCTATATAGTAAAATTAAGTAATACTAGTTATAGTATCAATTATAATAATTTAATAATAATTATAATAATGAATTTAATAAAATTAATAACTTTCTAGTTGTTAAAATATACGTGTTTTTGCCCAGATAAGCATTTTATATGTGGAAAAATAGAAAATGAAATGTTATGAAAATTTATGAGAAATAATTATTAATTGTAATTATCCACTTATTATACATTTATATTATCTATATTAATATGTATACAACAGTACAGATTTCAAAAGAATAAACATTTCTGTATAACTTTTTATATATATAAAGGTGAAATAGCTTCAATATAAACTACACTTGTCAAGTAAAATTTTTTCAAGGACATTGGATAAATGATATCGATAGAAAATCGAAAATTTAAATTAATGCTGTTATCATATATACAGACCCCAAATGCGCAATTTACGACTGTATATACAAATCTACATTTAAAAAGATATAAATATTTGAGTGGATGATCATAGATATATAAATAGAGACAGAAAGGGGATTGAGAGAAAAACAAATAAGTGAAATTATAATTTTAACTACAAAAATAAAAAAAAATCAAAATGTCTCTTTATAAATATTCAGTACTATAAAAGAGAAAAGAGAGTATATATGTATGTACAAAAAAAAAATCGGAAAAAGATAGACATTTTATAATAATACATTATATATATAATTTTTGTATATGTTGTATAGACACGGGCTGTGTATATATTTATAATTGATTCATTTATGGCGCTCCCTCAAGTATTCGCAATAATTTAAACAAATAATTTTAAAAAATATATATATTTATTTATTTTGAAGCTACAGAAAAATTATTTAATAACATCATCGATGTTTATTTTAACGAATAAATATTTATAGACTCAAATAAACTCTTTTTATAACCGAATATTTAATAAAATACAAATATTTTATCCAAACTAATTTTGTAATTGTCATTAATAAATATATGAATCATAACGTTTTTATTTTTAGTATTAATTAGAAAAAGAGAAAGTATATTTATGTATTGTATACGAAATGAAGTACTGTGTACTACTAAACTATAAAATATATGTACTTGGCCCCTATTCATACCAATTACCAAATACCTATTTCAGTCTATTAGTAGTGTCAAATAATAAATAGATGTTTATCATACTATTTGGGACTAACTGTTACCATACTGATGATTATAAGTTTTGATTAGGGTTGAAAATTTAGTTATGAGTATTAATCACACTGATTTAAAATATAATTGTAGATTATTATTTAGCGTAATCATAACAATCAATATATATCCAGTTTTATTAAGAGTATTCTACTTGTAATATAAATTAAATCTACAGTAAACGTTTACATAAAGAAATGTTAGACATTTTAATGTACATCCAACTTAATTATTTAATTAGTAATACATAAAAATGTATTACTATTGATTATGCCATTCAAGCAATGTTTTTAACAAAATTATAAATTATAATTAGAAAGTAAATTAACTAGTAAATATATATTTCATATAGTACATATAATGTTAATGATTATGATGATAAAGATAATAATATAATATGAGACAAAAAATCATATATAAGTTTCCATAAATTTACGATATTTATATACTTCCACATACACAGTTAAAGTTTTGTATTTTACGTACTTTTCTAATATTTTAAAATATATACAACTTCAATCATTAACAAAAAAACCTTATGCATATATATATATATATATATATATATATATATATATATATATATGCATAAGGTTTTTTTGTCCACCAAATTAAATCTACAAGAAAATTATATAAATACACATACATAAAAAAACAATCATCTAAAACATATATACACGCATATAATTTCACATTAGCGTGGACGTAATATTTCTTTACATCTGTATTCGTTATTATGGGAGGGGGGGGGGTCTATATTAACCCGACTAAGTAGTAACAACCGCAACCACCATCTCACTCATTTCGCTAATTCACAAGCACTCAAATATTCTCACATCTCTCATTTATGGCATCCACAATCACCAACCTTTACTAACCATCCATCCATGTATTGTATTGCATTATTCTATAATATATAAGGATGAATAATTATTTATATGAATAAGAAAACCTATCACTTCATCAAAAATAAACATCCAATAAGGAATTTCTGGTTATTTTAATAAGATGGAATAATAATTAAGAAAAAACCTATAAGCTTATAAGCTTATAATTATCTATTACTGAACTTTTATTAAATATTCATCTCATATTATTTTATAATTCTAATTTTAAGTACAATTTTAAAAATATATTAATAAGAAAGAAATTAATTCTAGTTTCCAAATTAAAAAAATTCAATCATTTGATATCTTGTACAGTTGTATATACAATATATACAAAATAGTTTAAAATTTTTAAAAGTAACCAATTAAATTTACAAAACTTAAATTAATCAAGCTCCTGAGATAGATAATTTGTTTTAAATAATAAGTTAATAACAGTAGTATAACTATTTATGTTATATATTAATTTTCATCAATTACGAAAAACATTAAAACATTACTTACATTTATTCAACATTATTCAACAAAACAGTAATATATTTTAAATATTGTTTATGAATATAAATCAATGAAAAAAATATTGAAAAATTAATAAAAAAAAATTTCACTTATATTATTTACATATACCAAACAATTTCGAATATATGTATTTCTTTACGAGTTCATACATTTATATTAGTATAGTAAAATAGATCGTCAAAAAGATAATTAGTTAGATTTTTCAATTGGCTTTTAAGGATATATATATATATATATATATATATTATAATCTCTAATACACGTCGAAAAGTCATAGCTAATAAACATTTTATATAATATGAAGTTAATAATAAAAAATCTTTTGTGCACATATAAGTACACCGTACTAACCGTAGGCTTATCTGACTAAATTTTTAGTAAATATAATATTCGTAATTGCTAGGACAATTTATCATCATTTTTTGTTAGCCATACGGATAATCCATAGATTTTTGCATTTCTCGAGTCCCACACATTAATTTAGTCAAATACAGAATTTACACGATTAATATCCCAAAACCTAAAAATCCCATTTTCTGTACTATGTTCTCTCTACATTATTTGTTATTCCTATATTTAACACTTATAAATTTTAATTAATTCGTGTAAAATAGGGTCTATAACTAATGCAGGATAGTATTTACTTAAAACTTTAAATGATATTTAATATTTAGTAGTTATAAAAGCTTAGTAATCTTAATATATAAATAATATTAAAAACTATGTAATATATATATAAATTCGATTCATTACTAAATATTAAGAATAACACCTCAGACCTTTTACATTATTACAAAATTACATATTGACGATAATATTGTTGGTTCGATTTACAAACATCAATAACATATTAATATACAAACAATGTACAAATTTTCTAAGTTATTTCAATGAATTATTTTAAAAATATTTAACCCAAAATATTTATTTTAAACCTAAATAAGAAATTATTAATATACTACTCTATATAATTAAGATTATTGTATTATATTATTATGGTTTACTTAGGAAATACGCATAAACTTTAGAAAATACATTATGATACTTGCAATAATACTTATTACTTATTTTCTCTCATATTGTCTACAGATTAAAAAAGAATGTGAAAATAAAATTTATAAGTATATAAGTATATAAGTATAAAATGTATTTACATTGTTGAAACTATTATATATATCTTTGTTCAGCTTTATTATATTAAAATTTTATAGTAATGTACGAATTCAAATAGAATATTGATGTTCAAGCCATCAATGCTTATAAATATCCGAATTACATATACTAAAATAAATTAATCATATAAGTATATTTATATGAAGTTTATATAATTATAGTTTAAATTTTATTTCTTATTAATTAAAAATTGGATTTTTATTGCACTTATATATCTTTCATAAGAATATTAATATAAAAAAATAAACAAAAGAACAAAATAAGAATAATTAAAGTATATATAATAAAAAATGGTTAATGATTTATAATTTCTTGTGTTTCATAAATTTTTAATGTCATTGTCTAAAAATATTACAAAGATTATGATAAAAATAAATAATACTTTTTTAATAACATTAGAGTATATTTATATCTATTATAGATGGAAACAAATATTGTTTATAAAAAAAAATTAAATTAAAAAAATATTGAAATTAAAGTAGTTACATTTTATAAATAAAATTAAAAAATTACTAATTTTAAATAATCAAATAGCCCTCTTTATTTAAAAATAATAATTATTTATCACTATATTTATTATTATTTTATATAAAAATGAGCTATTTATTATTGTATATACATGAAGAATTTCATATAATGACAATGTATACTATACTATTTAGTATTATAATATACATAAAATATGTTAGATTAATTAAAATAAAAAAAAATTTTATCTTGATATTATTATATGATAAGAAATTTTTTATTATTCTAAATTGGTTCATTTGCTGTATAAATAATTGGTTTTTGAACCATTCTACGAAAATTTTATTTTTTTTTAATATTTTGATGAAGTAATTAATGTATATTTAATAATTAAAAATGAAAAGAATTTAAATTTTAATTCACTAATTTATTTATTTTCAAAATGCTAGTTTAAGAAAATTACAGTAATTTAAAATTAATGTTCAGAACTTCATTATGTAATAAATTAAGATTATAAAATATAATTAGTTTCTTGAATAAAAAACAATTTATTTTCATTCTATATTACTTCTACATTCATTTGTCCTATAACCTTTTAATATAACATATATATATATATATATATATATATATATATATATATAGTAATAAAGTTAAGTGAACTTACATTGATGTTTATCTGCAAGCATTATTAGTGTGGAAGGTAAATCTCGTCGCCTGAAGAAGCACATCACCTTAGCTTCAACATTTCCACTGGCCGTCTGTAAGAAAAGGGAAAGAATAACAATTAGTTTTCCGAAATGCATGAATGCAAGACGATGACCATGCTCATTATACAATTTTTTTTTATGAAACTTCAATAAAAAAGTAACTAATTTAGAAAAATACAAAATTAAGATTTTAGTTATTATTTATTACTATACTTTACATTTTGTTTAGAAAATTGATTATTTATATTAACATTCACAATAAAGCTTATAAAAAAAGATCTGATCTAAATTTAGCAGTACATTAAAAGATTAAATCTATAATTTATATAATATTTATGTGTATAAATAGGATGTTACGATTCAGTCAAAAAAGCAGAAAATTGTGAGTTACCCAAAATTAAACTTCTCTTGTATTTATAGCTTAACTATAAATGTATTTGTATAAATAAAAGTAATATTCTGTAGATCAATGAGATAGAAATATTAATTGTAAATTTTAGTTATAATAGATATAAATAATATTAAAAACGTATAAATTTAATTTGCTAATATATTTACTTAAAAAAAATTCTATCACAATTTAAAAATATTTCTACACTTTCGATTTCTTGTGATTCAATTTTAATTAGATTTCTTTGTTACCTCATATTATTTTTATTTATGAACATAAATAAATATCTATGGATAAATTATAAAAGAAACAAATAACTTATTTTCAAGCTTACTTAAAAATTTTACTTATATAATAGTAAATTTACTTATATATTAAGAAATATTTAATTTGCATGCAATACAATTTTATTACATCTTTTTATTAAAACGTTAAACAATTGGTTTATAATATAATTAAAAAAATAACTTATCGATATTTTTATTTGTAATATTTGTAAATAATAAACATTTCATATTATTATTTTTAACTATATATTCTAGCTTATAATTACATTTTTAAATCGAATTTTGATGAAAGGCCTTCCAAAAAAATAAATAAAATGATTATTCATATTTTTATTTTAAATTTTAAATACATTTATTTTATAATTTTCATTGTTATTTAATTAAAATTAAAGTAATAAAAATATTACACGTACTAATTAATATCTTTAATTTTTTACTTAATACATAAAAAATGTCTATTAATTTATTAAACGAAATGTATTAAGTTACTGTATTAATTTAATTAACACAAAATGTGTTTAATTATTTATTATTTTTTAATATACTGTAACTTACATCTGAAAATAATAAACAAAAACATTCTAAAATATCTTTTAAAGAATTTATTATTTTAAGATTTAATAAGATGAAGAAAAATAAAAATATAAATAAGTAAATTTTGGTTGTTTGTTTTTTATTTATAATATGATGAATTATTTGTTGTACATAATTTTAAAAGAATACTATTTTCAAATTTTTTTATTTTTTTAAATCTCTGCTTTTTTCTGATTTTATTCAATAAAGCAGTAGAATTCAGATATATTAATAAAAAGATAATACTAATGACTGAATAACAAATTTGTTATGTTATTAAATCAAACAATAAACTTGTATATAAATTAATAATATCAAAGTTTAAAAATTTTTTTTTTTTAATTTAAGTACAATGTAATTTACTAATTATATTCAAATAATATCAATAAAATTTTTTCAATCAAATGTTGCATCAAATATAAGTAATAATAATAAAATATATGTATTCAAATTTTTATTACAAAATTACAACATATTAAATCATACAAATTAAATATTTTAAACAAGTATTATTTAAATGTAAAAAAATAAGTTAAAGCCATTGTATGACTTATAAATTTCAGAAACCAAATTTTTTCTAGCCTTGTTTATTCATTACAGAAATTATGCAAAATAGATTTTACTAGATAATATAGATTAATTGAACTTTAATTATTAGATTATATTAAAATAATTTTTATATACAAATTGTATAGAATTATAAATTTTATGCATGCAATAATTAATTATATATTATTTACTTAAATTAGCAATATACTCTCCATAAAAAGATATTAGATTTAATAACATTGTAATACCTTATTTAGTTCTTCTATCCTTCGTATCTGATAAGGAGAGGTAGAAGATGTCTCAAAATAAACATAGTCTGAAAGAAAGCATAATTTTATAAAATAAATGTATTGTTTTTAATCTTTGATTAATTGTATATTATATATTCTATATTATATAAATCAGGAATATAATATAAATTTTCATTGTTATAAAAGTTAGTTAGAATATTGTTATAAATGTTATTTCCAGAATTATAATTTTTTCATTATATTATTTTTAAATAAATAATTTATAAATTTACAGTCGTATTTTGTTTCAAATTTATTTACAATAAATAAGCAAAAATTGAGGCGTTAAATAATAATAAATACTTATAAATATTTTTTGTATTATTAAACTAATTCGTCTAGACATGATAAGACGTAAGACTTAAGATTGAACTAAATTTTTCATATTAAATCTTTTCATGTTAATATTTTATTACAGTCAATACTTTAAATCATTGAATGACTCATCTAAAGAATTTTGTCATGACTATATGTTTTTAGCAATACAAATATCTATATCCTGCAATAATAGGGATTGTTGAGGCAATACATTACAAATTATAAATTTGTTGAGTAAAGGTTAAAATGCAATATATAGAATAAAGATCAACCCAATCATGTTCACAAAAAGTGGAGAAGATTTGTTCTTTAATTATGATAGAAAGAGAATTCAATATATTTAAAATTTCATAATTGTAAGATTTATTTACGAGTTCCCTTTTATTTTTACATGAAAGCAGGAATAAATGAACTTAGATAAGTAAATTAAATAACATAAGTTTCAAATTTTGTTTATAAAAAATATAAAATAAAATTTCTTTAATGGTTAAAGGGTTATATTAAAGAAAATGCTTTTAAATAAATTAATTGAACTTATGTCAATTAAATATTCTATTGCAGTTTAAGAGATAGTACATATAGAACTACTTCAATAGAATTCATACATTGGAAAAAACTGGTCACAAGCAAAACTGATATGTTTATTATCAATGTGTTAATGTTCATAACCTTATTTCAAATGAAAGGAATTGTTACATTTGTAGTTTAGTATAAATACTAGAGTTGATTAATATTTTGATAAATACTTGAATTTGAAAGTTATGTCACGTGTACATCAAAAAGATCTGTTATATATCTTATCTATTATCTGTATCGTGTCACTGTATGGTTAACAATAAAAAATACATTTTTAATTATTAGATCTATGTATTTACTATATTTATTTACTTTAAGTTAATGTACTTCATTTAAAATTTTTATAATCGTATTTACACTAGAAATAACAAATTTTAACGATTTTTATCAAAATAATAATATAGTAATCAGATATAATGAATACAAAACAGTATTTTCAGTATAGTTATTTTTATACTCAATGATACCATTGATGTTAATACCTTATTAACCTGTTAATACCTTAATATAATTGCAGATAATACAAAATTACATGACTTGTACTAGAAAAAAGAGAAGTCTTTAGATTACATAAATAAAAGAAGGCAGAACAAGGAGAGACAAATATTGACAATAAAACAAAATGTATAAATAATAAAAAACTATAATAGTTGTATACAATCATATGTATATACTAATATGTGTTTCCTAATTTTATGTAAAAACACAATCATAAAATATACAATAAAAATAATTTTATTATCATACTATATTATATTTTAAAGATATTTTAACACAGAAAAAGATTTTAAATTGTTTGAACTTATAATTGAGTTTAATGTAATTTTAATGCTAAAATTATTACAGTATCACTCAAATAATAGAAAAAGGTCAAGTATTAAAACATTTATTTAATTTAATATAATAGCTAATAAAACTAAAAAATTTCATACTTTTGATGCACTCAAAATAAAATTGAATTTAATAATAAAATTAGTTAAACTATCTACATATTTCTATTGTAGAACTTTATTTTTAACCTTCCATTAAGATAATAATTACAGTACTACAAATTTTAATTATTGTTTACTAAAATAATTTAAAAGTATGAACTTTTTTAATTAAATAAATTTTTAAAAAATATGAAAATTAAAATTCCATCTGAGTTACTAGATCGTACAATAGATTATATTATAATACAAAATAAAATTCATGTACTCCTGTTAATATTTCGAATTATACACATATAATTATAAGTATAGTAGACATTTCATTGCATCATTATCATATAAGTACTGATTCAATCTTTATTATAAAAAATTATGTTAATTAAAAAAAGAATCTCACCATCACATCATTTAAAAAAAACAATCATAATTTAATACATGATTTTATTTATTTGATATTTATTTGATTGTATTCATGATCATTAGCATAATAATTAAAGTTTCATAAATAAAACCTATGTAAGTCTGAAGATTTATATAAAATATTATAGAAAATAAATATCATCTATTTATATTAATATACAAAAGAACATACGATCCTTGAAAGATAAAAAAAATGTTCTGTTTACATATTGTATTTATGTTCTATTTATCTATCTTACTTTTCATTCAATAAAATGGAGGAAGAGCATTATGCTTTCTTTTTACTGTAAATATAATAATGGTATGCAGTTATAATAAATATAAATATAGATTTATGATTAAAAACCCAATTCAAATCTAATGAACAAGTCAAGTGTCTCATACCTATCATTACGTGATGAAAATAGTTTTTTGCTCACAGTTATTTTATAAAATTATAACATATTTGTTGAAGTTTCATAGCAAATTAAATGCTAACTCTTATATTAATAAGCAATAAAGAAATTAATCAACAAATATTTATTTTGAAATAAAATATAAAAAGTATATTTGACATTTTTTTTTTATACCTTATTTGAAAAAAAGAAAAAGAAAAGCAATAATACTTAATATAGTTACTATTATAGTAATTGATTAATTTTAATGATTTATATGGAACAATTAAAGTGATTATACTAATAAATAATATTTTTAAATTCATCTATTAAAATGTTTGTATAAGAATTGTCAAACTATGGAAAACGTCAACTGAAAACTCACTCACTCACTCACAAATGCTATAGCTCATACTCATTCTAAAAATGATCTTAATAATTTAAACGAAAGATAATTACAAAAGATTTGAATACAAAAATATATAAAAATGAAAAAGTTGATATAAAATTTTTGTGAATTCTTAAGTGTAAGAAAATGAATGAGTTAATAAATTATTTTGAAATATGTCATTTAAATATATTTAAACTAACATTTAATATTAGCTATTTTTCAACAAAGTTGTATACATTTCATATATTTTTCGAAATCATCTTTTTATAATAAAAATTAAAAATATTTTTCTTTAATATTAATAATTCATGATAATTTAGATGATTCAAAAATTTCTAATGAATAGCTTTTTAAAAAATTTGTAAGCTGCTATATAAAAAAAAATTCTTATGAAAATATTAATCTATATATTATTATATATATTATTATATATATTGTACCAACATCTGTTATGGAATTTAAAGCGTTAATAATTATTGTATTACATCTATTAAACATTAAAGTGAAAAAGAAAAATGGCCAGAAATCTAGAAATACCAGAAGAAATAAGTTTCGAGGTGATTGTACGTCAATATTCTACAAGCATATAATGAATGTTGGACGTTAAATGTTAAAAATATATTTATAATAGTACGTTAGTAACAGATGATACCAATTTTTAGTCAATTGTCCCAAAACACAACAATGATACATAAGTAGTGGCCGAAAAGCTAAAACTGGTCAATTACAAAGTAATAAATACAGAAGAAGTAAAACTATAAGTAAAAAGAAATAAAGAATGATGATATTATTTGTAGAAGCAATTGGTATTTATTTCAGCTTAAAAATCGACTTTATTATCTTTGATACACACATTTTGGATGTTTTAATTATAAATCTAGTTTAATATTAAAATAAACATTTAGTAGTAAGAATATTTTCTAATAATGGTATGTAGTCAATTATATACTTAAATAAAAATTTAATTATAATTTTAATCATTAGAACATTGTATTAAAATAAGCAGTCAATTGAAAATGACAATTAATATTTATCAATTAAATTACCCTCTGTCATCATATTCACTTATGATTGGCTCATTGTTTTAAGATAAATAATGGATCAAATATTAAAATAAATTTAAAATTAAATTTAAAATTTACCTCCTACTCGATACATGTTAGCAGTCATATTGCTGGTGTCTTGAAATGCTGCCAGAGCAAAATTGGTGTTCTCGTGAATATTATGATTCTCGTGATATTCAGCTGGCATCGGCATGAAGAGAGTTATGTATTTTTGGATTTTCACATGTACACAGTACACAATTATTGTTTCCTGTTTATTCTACACCAAAAATTCCTTCAACGCAACCAACTGTCACGCTCTTGTTTAACAGCACTTTGTGACATTTTATTGCCTTTGGATTATCAATAGTTTTATATAAATTTTGATCACTTATCAATTTTATAAAAATTATCTACTTTCCTTGGCTGCTTCATATATTTTCCTCTCTGGTATTTGATTAATTGGCTATATAACACCAAAATTCTAAAATAAATTTAAATGAAATTACTTAATTAAACTTTTTTAAATATGGAATGTAATTTTTGTATGAATCTTTTTATTATAAAAAACAAAATTTTAATAACATATAAAATATAATATATTGAAATTAATATAAAATGGATAATTATAATAAACTTTAATAATAATTATTTTATGAAATATAAATGCTGAAAATCTTTTAATGTAAGAATGTATTAATTTTAACCCATGCAACATTTACCTGGTAATATTGAACACTATATCCATAGAAATTACTTTCACATATTGTCCTCTTAACATCAATAATAGCAGTACAAAAACATGTCCCCATCACCATTAGTTGTTTGAGCATTTCCTTTTTTTATGTTTATTCCTCTGGTTTTCATTAAAACTCACCCTACATGACATAAATTTCTTAGTAATTATAATAACCATAAATTTTTTCTCATATAGTCCCAATAACTATTTTATATCTTTCTTATATTATTAACTACTCCTAGTATCAACTAGTAGTAGGAATAATAAAAGGATAAGTGTTGGCATTAATATGATTAATAGTAGTATGAATAATGGAAATAGTGGTAATGATAAGAGCAGTAGCAATAATAGTAACACAAAAGTGGCAGTGGTAGAGGTAATAGTAGCGAAAAAAGCAGTAGAGTAATGGCAATAATAGTATCAGTAGTAGTAACAATAGTGGTGGGGGTGATAGTGTAGTGGTAGTGGTTTTTCAATACGGCACGTATTAATACCGCCATTTTAGTTACATTGCCTGTATGTATGACAATAATTAATATGAAGCCTTTTTTCAGTATTCACGTATTTTTAATGAAATATTTATGTTTAATGTCAATCAAAGCTTTGATACATTATATATATATGTATATATATATATATATATATATATATATATGTATGTATATACATGTATCATAAGAATATTAATACGGATGTGAATTTGCCCACGCACGCACCCATAGTTAAATAATTTTGCATACATCACACATTTATTAATAAACTATCATTTATTATGTATCTTTGTAAGTAAGAATGGTTAACGTTACGTTTCGTACACTACATGTACTCACTTTTTATAGGCAAGACAGAGAGCTCGCGCACGCGCCCGCACGCGTACATACATATACTTTCAATGCACTTCCGCGTCCTCTTTTCCGCCCTCTTAGAGAAGACGCGTACCACTCTCGTCCTAATAGCAATAAAAGACGACCATACAACTTTTTTTTCTACAATATATACGAGGATACTTGTCGCACACTCATAATGATAATTATACAATTTTCAATTAGCTCGCAATAAAAGTGTTAATTGCCTTGGTTGAAAGGTAGAAAGGAAAAGTGTCAAAAAGTATCACAATTACAATTGTTAGCGCACATTGAACCCATTGCCCGAAACACTCGGTGGTTCACCCATGAATTCCTGTACTAAAAATCCAGCCAGCCGGTCATATTGTTATTTCGAACTACATTCCATACCACTGTACTCTGAACTGCTGTGCGCCGAATGCACAGCACACCTTCACTGTCTCATAATCTCAGCTTGTCTGCACCAACGCTAAATTGAGTCTATACTCATACAAACACATACTATACTTGTGCCCGCGCTTATGCGTCTTCTATCTAGCTTTCTCTGTTTCACAGATCGACACGTACATATATTGCTTTTAACTAAATTTTAAGACGCATGCATGATATTAATAATAAATATCATCATTATACTACAACTTAGAATCTTAAAGTACTGCACTATAATATTACAATATCACACAATCTACTTGTACAAAAACAAACATAATCCCAATGATGTAAGTAAAATGCAAATAATGCACAATTATATACGTGCCTTTACGAGTCGCCACGAAGTAAAATTTTAGCAGCTCCCCCATACGGCGATAGTATCAAATGTAGACGTCCTTATTGCTGGTAGGATTCTCGTTGAATCTAGGAGTATTTGATCAAAAAATTACCATATAAAAAATTAGCCCATGATTTCAAAACTAAAAGTTTCAAACATAATATTAATACGAGTGTGAATTATGCATTTGATTTATATGAAAAACGATTAAAATTTTATACTATTTACCTATACCACTTCCAAATATAATTTACAATTTCCATCAAATTTTCAAAAATATTTTAATAATACTCAAGATATACTATACAAAACTTATATCAAATGTAAAAGCGGGAAAAAGTAGCCATTTAAATTTTACCTAAAATTTTTTTAAAAAATAAATTTCCAAGAGTACCAAACGTAAGTAAAATACTAAAAATTTTATGTGAATTAAAAAATTAAAAAATATATTAATATTATCAATAATATAAAAATTATCTTTCTTTTAATTTTCAAAACCTTATTTGACATTATTTATCTTTTAAAGAAAATTCATATATTTATATTCATGAGTATGCATATTAATAACTTGTTATACATTAGTTTTTAAAAAATTAATTGAAATAAAATATAACAACAGTATTATAACAACAACAAAAATAATTATAATCATTTTTAATTCCAAAAATATTGCACAGTTTTCATTAGAATTCATTATAATTAAATTCTCAACAAATAAAATCAATATTTCAGATAGTAGTTAATATTTTATTAGTAATAATTAAAGCAATATTTCAAAGTAATTTAAATAATACCAAAAGATATTATTTCAAAATTTAAAAGAAATTAACTTCTACATAAGTAATATAATAAATAAACATAAAATACCTATTTGCCGATTAACAATTATGATATTTTAGAAAAGTTAATATAATTATAAACAAAGATATAAAGTAACTAGCAAATAATAATCTTTAAAAAAAATATAGATTACAATTTTCATTTTGATTGCTTAATACAAGTAATTTAGAATTTCATAACAATCTGTCATTCGTAAACTAACTAATATTACTATATTATAACAATAATTTTAAATTTAAACAAAATTTAACGGGAATTGAAGTAAATATAATTTTTACACAAATTATCAAAATAATATTTTAAATCTAAATCTCAAAAAAGAATGGAAAAGTAAAAGTCTGATATATTTTACAGAAATATGTTACTAATATTTTTTTAAATATTGTTTTTACAGAAAATATTCTATTATATATTTGGTTTTGATTTTAAATATTACAAAAATTCTAATTAAATAATATCTATAATAATTGATCTGTTTTATACAATAAATGTGGAGTAATAATTAATGTATTTTATAATTTTAATCAAACTAAATGTATCTAATATTTGAAATTAAATTACTTATTATTATATCTTGTACAATATTATCAAAAGTATTTCCTTTATTGCCTAATAAATTATTATATAGTATCATTTGAAATTTTTATATATACATATTTTATTATACAATATAATCTTTTAAAAAATAATAAAAAAAATTAATGAATTTGATAATCAATGATTTATTATTCCTGATCTTTTATTCGCGTTAAAATCTTTATTTTACATATTTTTCATATGTTTGAAGTATACGAGTATATATTTATATAATATATTATATTATGTTGAGATTTATGGTTGTGAAATGAAGTAACATAATGGTTGTAAAATTATAGAACAATAAGAAAGTATAGAAATTTATACGATAATTACACTTTTTTGTTTTTGAGAATAAATTAAGTATAAATTCATCTTTAATCCTTATATTTTTAATCAATTGCAAAAGATTATATTTTCTTTTAAAACTTAGTAAAGTATGAATATTGTCAAGGTATATATATTAAATAATATAATTATATAAAATTATTTATTTTTAATATTTTTCTATTATATTTTGATTAATTACTAAAATACAATTAATAATACAAAATATCTCTTTTTTTCGAGTTATAACGATTTTAATTTTTTTTAAATCATATATTTCATTGTATTGGTATGTTTTTATTTTATTAGCGTATCTCGTACAAAATATATTTATAGAATGTTGATTTCATATTTATTCATCATATTCAGTATTGCTAATTGCATAATTCTGATATTTTTATATATTTTTAAATAATAGTAATGTTAATCTACAAATATTATACGATTGAAATATAAATACATACAAAAATTAGTCGATTAGGTTTACCTGCAAATAATATATTATACCTATATTACTTTCCTTTATTTTTCTCATAACACACTAAAAGATTCTCAATAAATGATATTGTATGCTAACTATTAGGAAAAAAATTAGTAACGAAATTGTTTAGAATGGTGACAGGTTTAAAGAAAAAATACGATAAGTTTAAATTTGTATAGTATAAATATGATTGATTTACTTATTATTTGGTAAATTCTATTTATCATATTGTGTCAATAAATAATTTTATATTAATCATATTACAATTTATCCATTAATTTTGACTTTATTTTGTAGTTAAATATTTAATATTATTGCATCATGAGTAATATCTAATAAATTGTATTAGATATAAGATAATAAATATATTATCATTTAAAATAAATAAATAATTTAATAAAGATAAAAAACAGTCTTACTTATATTTACATGAAAATACACCATATACATACATTGTATAAATGAAATATTTGATACTTTAAAGATAATTTATAAGTTAAATGGGGTAAAAAGTACAACTGCAACATAGTTTTTACTTAATTTATATATTTATTAAATTAGCCTTTTTCTACATTTGCTTGTATTCACATTACTTGTCAACTTTAATTTTCTTTTGACTGGTATTATATATATGATTAAATTACATTTTAAGAAATTGATGCGCTTGTAATAAAAGGGTAAATTAAATAAAAAATATTTAATGAAATAATATGTGAATGTAGGAGACACTTAACAATTATTATGGATCATATATTGTCAAAACATTGTCAAAGAATGAATTACAAATATTCCATATTTTTCTTTCTTCATTTATGATTTTTATATTTGTACAGAATAAATAGTGAAAAATATATAGTCGATTTATAACTCGACCAATCATACTACTTTTTTAATTTCAATTTAACTGTTTTATAATTTTTATCACTTTCCTGTTTTTGTATCTCTCTCTCTCTCTCTCTCTTCTATATATTTACTTTTTGTATCTTCATAAATGAGTATATAATGTATATATTTTTACATACATAATTGGAAATGTATTTCATATTTTCATACGTTCAATTTTTTACAACACTAGCATTCTAAAGTATTCATTTATAAATTATTCAAAATATCACATTTTCTCAAAACAATACGAAACCATTTTTCAAGTTATTTGTAATTCAATTAACAGGCGCCTATTTATTTTGTCTGTTATCTTTCTGCATTATTTGTATAAATTTTACTAAAAATTCATTAATTTCTTTTAATGATTTTCATTTAAAAAATAATTAATATAATTAAATTTAAAAAATAAAATAGAGCAAGAAAGGCTAATTTTATATTTTTCTACTGAATACACTTAAATATTTTTGAAGATTAAATTTTAATACAACAGTATGTTTATACAGTTTATACAAATAATTTATATTTCTTTTTTGTGCTAACAAGAAATAACCTTGTTAAAATACTTATTAAGTTTGCTAGTGTGAGTTTTTTATTATTTTGTCTTTTGTTAAAAAAAATTAAGGCACGCTTTCTATACTTCTAGTTCATATTTCTTTCGGTTGTTTAATATTTAATAGAAATTTAACCAAAATTATTTCAAAAGATTTTTACATTTTATCAAATTTATGTTTAAAAAACAAGTAATGAAAAAATATTTGAATTTGGTTTTTATATCGTGCTCAAAGAGAGAACATCATTTTTCCTACATAGAAAGAAAAATAAAAACAATATATACTATAACAGTAATCTTTTTCTTATACCTAGATAATATCCTTTTCTGTTGTACATTAAGCTATATATTTATTTGCTTATACATGATCTAACGTAAAAATTAATCTTAATATTTCTTATTTTTTAATAGTGAATTAATTATGACAGCACTACGATAATAAAAGGCAGTAACAAAATACATGTGTAAAATTAAAAAAATATTAAATGTTACGAAATTCTACTTTCTGTTAAAATATGACACATTTCTAAGTAATTATTAAAATACAGTAACGAAAGAAAATTTTAAAAACGATAAAAAAAGGTAAAAGAAAATTGTTCCCATTCAATATGAAACGAAAAATACGTGCAAAAGCATTATGGATAAAAATAAACCAGGAATATTACATGAATTTAAAGAATGGAAAAAATGGAAAGAAACCTGACTCGTCTCGAGAAACATGAGTTAAATATCGTCAAAATTAACATACATATTATTGCAGTGACTTTTCAATATAATTAGGCCGTGTCATATTACGAGCTACAGTACATCGTTATAAATTCCTATTCAGTAAAATTACTTGAATTCTTACTTTCTTTATAGAAAAATGCATCTAGAAGCATAACAACGATAAAATGGAAAAACATTAATTTTTATATGTACAGTTTGTTGTAGTTCAGCCATGGAGTTGCAAAATCTCGCATCTGTTATTTACTGTGTTTAAATTATGACCAACTTAACAAGAATTCATAATTATCTAAATACATCATAAATATTAAAAGAATGAGATGTAAAAATTATGTAATTGGAAAAATTTGAATTCGAGATGCAAAATATAAATCAAAAAGTAGTTTCAACATATTAATGAACTTGTATTCTATATCATATATCAAAATCTACGTTTATTACGTTTATAATTATATAATCTGTAAATATTTTTTTAATTACTACTGTAGCATACCCATGATGCAGTCTTAAATATTACCTATAAAAATTGAAAAAAAAAAAAAAAATATTCATTAAAAAAGTAAATACTGAAATTTTATATATAAAATCCTATGATATTTCGTTACTGAACAAATAAATAAGTAAATAGATAATTTAATTACCTTTTGTATATAGATAAAAAAACTTTTTATCTAAGTAAATTACTAAATCTAATAATGCAACAAAATAATTCCACAAAAGCTAGAAAATTAGATTATAATACGTGAATTTATGACATGATAGAAACGAATATATATTATTTTACATTTTAATAATTATTGATAATGAATTTACATTAATTTCTGAATATATAAAAATATATTAAATAATAAATATATAAATATTAAGTATTCTTTTGATTAAATGTATTAATTAAATTGTGTTTATTAAATAAATAAATAATTTCATATTTTATACCTTAATAAAAAATTACGTAAATAAAAATTTGTATTGAATATAACTTGAAATTAATTTTTTAATGCGTTTAGCTTAATGCATAACTGTATAGTATTGCATAAATATATTCTGTAATATATTACAGACAAATAGATATATTTTAATTGTAATATATTTTTGAATCAACAAAGTACTTTAAGTTTGTAAATTTAATACTCGAAAATATTAAAAAAAATGTTATACTTGCCATAAAAATCATAATGAAAATACTTTGTAGTACATACTTAAAATAAATAATATTGCACATTAATAACATTCTTTTTTTATCATTTTGTAAAGATATATAAATAATTTTTAATCTTATCACAGATTATAGAAACTAATTTAAAATGATTTATTTCACTTCATATGCACTAAAATTGATTTTAATGAGAAATAAATAATAACAGCAGATAATAAACTATAATCACATGTTTTTAAAGCATTCCTTGCATAAATATAATTTTTTATTACAAAAATTAACAAGATACAATAAATTTTGATTTTGATGGAAAAAATCTATTTACACAATATAAGATTTTATTTTAAATCACTAATAAAATTACAATAAATTTAAAAATTTCTGAAAAAAATTAAGATAATTTACAATAACATTAATTTATTATGAAATTATTTTTTTACACACATAAATTGTAATAAAAACTATAAAGAAAATAAAAATTTCTTTTTAATTTATATATTATGCAAGGACATGCTAAATTTAAAATTATTTTTTATATTGAAATATGGTAATTAAAACATTTTACAAAATTAATATAAAAAAATTTAAATAAATCAAATAATTGTAATGTATATTTCAAATTTTATTATTTGATGAGTAAATAATGTATTTTTCAAATATAAGTGTTAAAGTATTGTTATAATTAATTTTAACATCAAAATTACTTCAAAAAATAATTTTTTAATCTGAATACTAATTTACACCTAATTTGTGTAAGTATTACGTAAAATAATATTTTTAATTATATATTATACAACATTTTTATAATTGAATGGAAATTTCTTGTATATAAAATGTATAACTATATAAATAAATAAAAATTATTTATGTTATTATGTAATTGCTTAGCAAATCTTACTTTGTTTGCTCATTTCATGCATATAACCAATGTTTAGCAAATTATTCTAAGAAAATTTGCTGAGTAAAGTAAATTAATTTATTGGCAAACAGTGCGAGAATCTCAACTCCAATTAACATTGAAGTAATACCTTCACTTTGAGCTTTTAACTACAATATATGCAATTCCGATTTCGCTTTAAGGTTAAAAAAATAATAATTGTATATATAACGCATTGTCTTTGCATGGGCAGTGTTTGCACATCTGAATTATCCTACAGTTACATTTTTTCATATCTATCCAACAATAAGGCACCAACTTTTAGGATCCTGAGATTTAACCCATGTGTTTAGACAAATTCAGAGGCATATCTAAAACATATAAAGCAATCTATTTAAAATAAATTCAACTTTTAAATTTATTAATTTCATAATATGTCTTTCATATTTTATTTTTAACAATTTTAATATTTAAATTTTTAGTGAATTGAAGTATTCGATAAATGTTCATCTACTAATTCATATAGTTTTTAATGAATTTTAAAATAATGAAAAAATATATCCTTTCAATTAACTTCAATAACAAACAATAAAACAATTATAATTATAATAAAATTATAGAATACACTGAATATTTTAAAGTAAATTTTTTGTAATTTCTGATAATTTTCTATTTTTATTTAATATTAATTTAATACTATTTCTAAAGCTATATTTACATACAATATTTCAAGTTTTTAATAAATTTTGTAAATATTTAGAGGCATTACGACAAATGTCAGACAAACTTCGTATCAGTTGTTCAAATATCTCCTTGTTAGAATTTTGTAAAAATTTAAGCATAATTTATACTAACATTAATTATTGTATAGTTTTAATAAATATAAATAATAGATAAATTTAATATTTATATATGACATAAACTATTTATATTAATAAAAATATAATGAATACTTATACTGCTTTAATTAGATATTTTAGAAACAATATTTCTATTTAAATGTTAATTTACGATTATATTTAGATTTATGAATATATAATAGAACATTGAAATTCAAATCTGGCAAATTTTCTATTTAAGTTATAATAAATAAACTACTATTCTTTTTTTTATTTATATATATAAAGAATTTTAAAGCTTTTTATATTTCAAAATATGTATTATTGGTGACAATAAATATATAATGAAGTTAACTTCATTTAATAAGACAATTTCTATAGATTTGATATAATTGTTCACTATAATGAACTATTGTTCTTTTTTAAATTTTTAATTATTACTGAAACAAACATCTAAATTTTAAGTGTGTAATAAGAAAAACGTTAAAACATAATAAATTTCTTGTAAAAATGTACGCCAGTTATTAATTGGTTAAATTTTAATAGTTATAAATGGTTAGTTATTAAAATATTTATAGATTTTTTTTCTATAAATTATTATTTATGTAATATTGGTATAAAGGACATCGTTGACATACCCGATGGAGGTGTAAGAGTTTGTTCTCTGTAGTCCTTATAGCGGTGCATGGGTGGTGAGTGTGATGATATATGAGGAGATGACTGGGGTGGGGCTGTATATAGCGACATCGGCGGTGGGTAGTGTACTGGTTGAGAGTAATGCATCCAACAAAATGGTGCTCGATAGGTAGCAGGTGGTAACATAGGTAGCCCATAAAGTGGCTGGTGAATTGAAGAAATTGTGCTCGGGCTTAAATAAGCTGTTGTGAGTGCAGGTTCCAAACGACTTGAGCGCGAATACATTGATTGTTGTTGATGCTGATGTGGTGAAAGTTGCTGATGATGCTGACACTCTTGAGGCTTCAAAAGATTGCGCAAGAAGCCTGGTTCATTTTCCATACTAGGTTTGTCTTCACCCAAAATACTTGTTATACTGTATGATGAGAGCTGTTTTGAAACTGGAGCTGTTTCACTTGTCTGCTAATATATATATATATATATATATATATATAATTATATAATATATATATATATATATATATATATATATATATATATATATATATATATATATATATATATATATATACGATTATTAATATAAAGCAATTTATGTAATTGAAATCTGTGTAATCATTTAATTAAAGGTATAGTTTCAAACAAAATTTATATTTCAATAAATAAAAATATAATTCAGATCATTTCACTATGATAAATAAAATAGTATCTCTATATTTTAATATTTTATTCAGAAGAACAATATGTAAATTAGATTTCATAAGAATTAAAAAATCTTAAATTTTTTAAAAACTAAATAAAAATACAAATTATAATAAACAATTTTTATAAATAATAATCATCATATGAATGTAATCAAAATAATATTTATTTTCAATGTCAATTTTTTTTATAGTTTTGTCTGTCTAAAATTAAATACTACTTTGTATCATATACTAGAAATATTTTTAATAAAAGCATAATTTAATGCTCAAGCATTACAGCAAAGATGATCATTACCAATATATTGATTACAGGTTGCGGTGGTGTAGCTCTTCTTTTTGACGCTAGATCTTCTAGACTGACTCTTTCAAGCTCGCGTAGTATGCGTTTACGTGGTGAGATAACGTTTGGATCTAGAAGTCGGGCTAGTTTATCGATTATAATGCTTAGACTCTTATTGGAAGTTGCTCCACCACCATTGGACTTGCGTACTGTTAACGATATCTGTTGCTCTTGAGGCTTATAATAATTCGTAACTAAATCTTTCAACTGCTTCAGCGAGGAACTAGGATCAAATGGTTGTCGTCTTTTACGAGCGATCAGTCTAGGGTGGACATGCAATCGCATATTAGGATTGCGCCAGTAATAAAAATTAAATTCAGTCGAAATATTACGCCTAGGATTGCTCTGTTTCCAACAATGATCACGTTGCCACGGACTCGATTGAATAGACGAATTATCGTCTGAAACTGAAATATTCAAAATACTTTTTTTAATAATTTCATATTAAGATAACTCTTACATCCAATTTTTTAAGTAATACCCTATCTTTGCAACTTATTAAAAATATACCGTTAACATTTGAATATTTTTATTGATTTTTTATAGAGAAAGTAATAAATGATTTTTTAATTCATAATTTTTATTTTTTCATATAATTGAGCAAGGTACATTGGTTGAATTTAATGTTGTTTGTACAATTTTAAAAATAAAGTATAAAATTACATTTAAAATATCTAGAATATATTTATAGAATACATAAAAATAACGACTTCCTATCTCCGACGATTATAATTAATTGCAAATTACTAAATATAAGGAGTAAAATATGATTGTTGAAAAAAATGACATAAACTGACCGCTAAGTGAGGCAGAACTTTCTAGTCTGTTAGGCGTGACATTGGCTGGAGGCCAGAAGGTCTTTTTTGGCACGGGAAACCAGGTGGTCCTTTCGCCATCTCTACGGTGTGACAGTTCCAAAATGAACTTGCCGTCTTTGAAGAATTTAAGTCTACCTCCAGGCATGGACAGACTATTACCATTACCCAGATTACCTAATTGTCCAGGTGAATCATCTTCGAGATCCAACAATTGGCTCTCGGTAATGGTGGCGCATCTGACAATATTATTTGAATGGGGCTGTGGTCTATGCGATTGTTGATGTTGAGGATTACTGGTAAAATTTTTACCATTGGTTTTAAGACTTGAATGGTGCTGAAGCACACTTGGCGCTGGATCGCGAGAGCACATTTCTGCCATGGCTCTTACGTGACTCGCATTGGTATGACATTCTGAAGATTTTTCGCGCATATTGTTATCTTATTACAATCCATTTTCTGCCTTTTAATCTATTTATCAATGAATTTTTTATGAAAAATTAATTTATATTAATACATAATCTAATTAATAACCAGGTATTTTATAAATTTGTTTGCTATTAAATATTAAATGTGAAATATATATTTTAATTGTTTATATTAAGAAATTTTTCGTATTACAATAAACAGCAGTAATAAATTTTAAACCAATAAATGAAATTTGTATCCAATATTTCGTAAGATACATAATTTAATTTTTTAGTTTCCTTTTATATTATTGTATTCCTTTATTATATTAAATAAAATAAATTTAAAAACTCGATTTAAAAAAAAACTTAAAAAAGAATAATTTGAATATTAGATTTGACATATTTTATTAAATATAGTGATTTTCTAATAGATGTATTAAATGAATTTTGTTACAACATATTTTCTCAAATTTGAGATTTCATCAAATTTATATGACTTATAAATTTTCTATAGTCATTTATGTATTGTACATTCGTTATATTTGCTTCGTCTTAACAAAGTTGATTATTTTAATTATATAAAATCATTAATTACTAACATTTGTATACTGTAAAACGTTTTAAATTACAAATGCAAAAAATTTCAGAATTTGTTATTATTAAGTCAAGTAATGTATTTGTTATGAATTTTAAATTTAAACAATTTATAAAATATTTTTAAACAGCTTCAATAAAATATATAATCGATTTTCTTATTTCATAATTTTGATTCTAAATTTATAACTTTAAAAGTATTGAAATTGTTGAATACTTATTTTAGTAATAAAAACTACTTATATTATAGGTGATAAATTTGGTATTATTTGTATTATGTTTATAATATATTAGTCTAGTACATATGACAAATTAGACAATGAAAATATATAATCATAAAATTTTATAATTAAAATGCATTTAATTTTTTTTCTATTTAATTAATAACGAAATATATATATATGTGTTCTAAATTTATAAATTTTATTTCATCAACTTTCATAAGCTTATATATAAATATAAATAATATATCTATATAGAAATCATTAACAAATGAATTATAAAAATTGTATTTGGAAACTTTATATTTAAATTGTATAAGCAGTAATTATTAGTTTTAATTAAGTAAATATTTTAATCATTTTAAGATATTTAAATATGTTAATTAAAAAATAGATTAGATACATAAACTAATATGTTAATAATATACTTCTTTTTAAAAATTATAATTTAAACATTATATAATTGTTAGCTATCAGAAATTATTATTTATTTTATAAACAATATTACCTAAAAAATTATACATATAAGTTTCATTTTATGGATTTTGATAGTAGTTTATATCACAAAGAGGTTATATTCTTTTTAAATATTATTTCAAATTACTTTTTATTCTACATTTTTATTATTAATATATATGTATACAAGTATTAAATAAATTTATAAAATTAGGCAAAATTTAAAGTAATAAAATATATAAAATAAGAAAATATAATAACATTGTATATTATCATTTTATCAAGTGACATGATTTAATACATTCATTCTCATAATGAATTGCAATTACAAATATACAAAAGTAAGAATACCTTAGTCACGTATTTCTAAATTTTATATGGTCGTCTCCAATCCTTAAAGCCTTACAATTAGTTTTATTATGTCACAAAATGATTCTGTAATGAAATAAAAAACTATAGCAATTAGTTCCAACAGTTACAATAACTGGTGACATGTGCTTTCTGCTTTTGAATCATTGAATTACACTAGGGTAATTTTACATTTCTATTCTTTTCAAAATAAAATCTGTAAAAATGAACAGCTGTACTCACGCAAACCTTTTCTGTCGTTTTATTATCTTCTACATATGTGTAGTATGTGCAGATTTGGTCTTAATGACGATGTCCCTAATGATATTACTCCTGCTGTTGTTTGGTCAGGATGTCGATCTTCTAAATTATAGCAGAAGGAACACGTAGCAATAGTAATAGCTGCTATTGTTGTCGGACACATCAATTTCTCTCTCCGTCTCTATTCCTCTTTCTACCTCACACTTTAATTTTATTCTTTTCGATATAAAACTTTTTTCAATGAGACGTTCGTAATAATGTAATGAAGAAGAAATACATAAAGCAATGGCACTTTGTCGTTATCGTAGCAGCAATATTATTTATATGACCTTCATGTGTCCGATGAGAAAAAAATAGGAACATCATAATCCTTTCGTTTATACACGTACATATTATTTAGTTATGAATACGATCGTACATAGATGTGTATATTCAATATACAAAATGATCACCGTGCTGATATTTGTCTTTTCTATTCCTCAGTTGCTTTCAGTTAGAGCAAAAATAATATGTGTATTTATTCGTGTATATAATGTATATAATGTATATGAATGTGACATCCTTTGGGCAAGAAAAACAAATCTTGAGGAATTGCTTACGTCTTTTCTTCGTTATTCCTCTTTCTTCTTTTATATCGCTTTATGTCTTTCTTCCACTTATCTCATGAACGCAAATCTGCATATTTACATAAACATTAATGTACTCGATTTTGTTTCTACAAGAGGCAGAAAACTATGGTAATGCATTAGTCAAATTATAGTATGCAGTTCCTCAGGTAACCATGTGTGAGTATATGTACAAAAGTGCATTTGTAATCGGGGTGCTTCCGTTCTTGTATGTGGGCGCCGCGTTTTTCTTCTTTTTTTCTATGACCCTCTCACCGCACTGCACAGTACTACAGTATACACCACTTAACGTTTTCAGTTTACATACACCCCCTCTTCTATCATTTATAAATATGCGTGCGCGCGCGCTTACGTGTGCATGATGCGAAAATCCAATGGCCTGTTGCTACAAGTTTTATTACTCTTCGCGTACGTCTTCAACCTACCGTTTCTTATTTTTTTTCAAATGTATACTATCTTTTGCATTTACTTTAAAGAATATTTGGAAAAATATATTTTTTTATTGCTATACTATATTGTACTATGTTATATTGCTTTCATTTTTCTGTTTTCTTCGAATATTAAAATACTATTCTAAAATTTATGTTGCTGTGTCTCTTCTTGTCATTTCTGTAGGCCTTTTCTGTCTTTATTCTCTCTTCCTACGATTTTCTACTCTTTCTTTAACTCTTGCACTCTCATGATTTTAGGATCAAACGTATTCATGTACGTTTAGTATTATGAAGTACGTGTACCGCTTGTTCCGAAATAAATTTGAAAAAGGCTATCTAAGATATAGAAATCATTTTTATAGTACAATTTCTTAGAAAATGCTTAGATATATCTATTTCTTTATTGCTCCTACCGCGTTCGATGCGCTTTCATTACTATTTGGTCTCCGTTTTCAGTTTAGTTTGTAAATTTAAAAAATTTTTCTTCTTATAATTATGAATAGGCACTAGTAGGCATGCGCTTTCACGCACACACACGCAGACACACGCGCGCGCATATATCTATATATATATATATATATATAAACATTTGTATAAAAACAATACGACACATGTAGAAACACACTAAAAAAATTAATGCAACAGAAAAATAATTATTTTTGTTGGATCATAGAATTCATTCCTTTACACTCATCCAAAATATAAAATACATCTGTAGTTTTGCCATAGTGCATGCAAAGTTCATTTTCTTTCATTCCCTCACTTCTTTTCTCTTTCACCAAGAGAAAAGAAAACGAGGTTATTTTTTACTTTCTTCTCAATTTATCATATAATGTTATAATAAATCTAAATAGTGATGTCTAAATATTTAAATCCTAACTATTTAAATGTTATTTATTATGTTTGCTAGGGAATGCTTTCAAAACACTATATATGTTATATCATAATTTAGTAATATTACAAAAATAAGAATAATAAAAAAAAACATGGTATAATTGTAAAATCGTACATTTTTTTTACTATAAAAATTAGAATTATTAGGTTATTGTAATTTAAATTAGAAAACTAAACTAATACTTTCTCAAAGTCATTTTAACCCATATAATTTAATATTTTATCATTCTATATTATATACGTACTTTACACTTTACCAACAATATATATTATATACACCTAATATAAACATTACATTATTTATAAACACTTCAGATTAATATAATTTATAAAGTATTTTGAAGAATTAAAACATTGTATTAGTTATATGGTTAGTTTTTGAAATTAAAAACTAAAAACCTACAGCTATTAAATTGTTAAGTGAAAAGTTTACATAATTAGACTCACGAATTGTAATTATAATATCCCAGAGTTAAAAAATATATTCAATACTGCGTTGATAAAAAAAGAAATATAAAATTACAAAATAATGTACAATAATAAAATTAATGTACAATAACAAAATTCAAAATTTTATTTAATTAAAATCTATTCAGTATTTAACTGAAGAAAAAATAATACTCATAAACTGTTTGAAAAATTTTGTTTATTTCTCACATTCTAGGTAGATAGATACTGTTAATGCATATATATATACACCTTTGTTTTAATTGGTCTTTCCTTTACTATAATACTTAATCGTTCTCAATAATGAATACCTTTTATTACTTAGGAATTTGACAGTGATTTCTGTTTTGAGTATGAATATATATAAATATTTTATATCGTATTTTATATATTGTTAAATTATTATATTATATTATATTATCAAAATTTTATTATATTATATTATATTATATTATATTATATTATATTATTATATATATATATATATAAATCGCATTATTATATCGTTAAATATATAGGCTACTATTTCTTTCTTAATTTTCTAAATTTTGATTATTATAAATAAATTTAATACTATACAATTATCTTAATTTAATAATTGCTTTATAATTTAGTAAATTCGTTTAATTCTTAATGTACTGTGTAGTACCCGAAATAAAGTGCACCTCAATATCTGAAAATTTTTATTGTAGTTTCATAACCTACAAACTACTTAATATAAAACCTTTTACTTCTATTCTAATCTATTCTGAATTATACTATTATTATAATTATTATAACCATAATATGTACTCGTTTCTAATACACATATACGTATATATATGAAATTACAAATTAACAATATTGAATATAGACTTAAGAAATTAAATCAATTTACAAATAAATGGAATTATTTTAGCATTATAACATTATTTGAAATAAATATATTGAGTATACAATCTAAGTACCTTTTCAAATAACATACTGTAAAACAGCATTTTTTTATTTAAACAAATTTGAAATTATATTTATCTCTTTTAAATATAATTAATTGCTGTTTGAATAATGATTAAACCTAGACCAGTTTTTACATTTAATTGTTAATGTAATTAAAACTATTGCAGTTATTTGCAGTAATAAATGAAATTATCACACTAAACATTTATTGATACATCCTATTGAGCGAACTTAAACTATTATTTATTAATGACATTATAAATATTTCAATAAATAAAAAAGAAATTCATTATTTATTATACTAGTAATATATGTTACTGAAAAATGTGAATTGCTATTGTCTTTTTCAATTCCTAAAAATAATTCTCTAGGATGTATTTTAGGAGATTATAATATTACGTTAAATTAGACATAAATTTTGCTTTTATTGTCATAAATTGTATTATAAATCCATTTATTATTCTCTAAAATTGTGATTATGTTAATAATAATATATGGAAGTTATTTTATTATTAATTCATGATAGAATGTAAAAGTATATTTTTATCCAGAAGTATAAGTGAAAATAGTATACCGTAAAAATATGAATCTAAAATTATTCATAACAATTAATTTAAACAGGAAATAAATTTTCCTTAAAAGAATCTATATATTAATATGGACATTTTAAATAATTGAAATTCAATATAAAAGCTACATTTGTTACTGTTTCAATACAACATTGAATACAAAATTAATAAATGATATATTTAACTATATATAAATAAAAAATATAGATACTAGCAGTTGAATAAATTTGTGAATGTGAATTTAATTTAAAATAAGTAATTTTAGATAATCAGCAACTTGATATATGAAAACTGATAAAGGTTCTTATAATATATTCTCATAAAATTATTAAGCACTTCTAGAAACTCTCGAAATTACCTACACCACAGTCAGCAAAGCCAGCAATCATCACATTTAAAATTTTGTTATCGTCAATCAGTTTATTTAAAAGTGTGATTCATTTGAAAGAACATAATAAATTGAAATTAGTGGTATTTAAATCATTTGCTATATCAATTAAATACCACAAATCATTTAAATACTATAAAATGGTATTTAAAAGTAAAGTACAATTTTATTTATTTATTTTTGTTAAATAATTCATAATAAATAATTAGGTATAAAAATGAAATATTTATTAAATAATAAATATTTATTAAATAATAACACATTTTATTTTAATAATATTAATTAAACATAATTTTTCATTAGCCCAAAATTATACCATATAGATATAAAGAATTTGTTCAAAGATATAAAAATAACAATTGCAATTGTAAAATATTACAAACTACAGAGCCAATTTATAAATAAAAATTATAAATTACTGCATTGTATGTACAATTTCATGGAAAATAGATCATTCATTTTATTAAATTGATTCTATTTATTTTCCAGAATTTATTGAATATAAGGTTTTTATATATATTTCAAATAGATAATTTGGTTGAATTAATTTTGATTTAAATGCATTTATAATAATAAATTGAAAATAGAGTATGGCTAAGATCTTTGAGGATATGAAGAATATATTAAATATCTGACGATTATTAAATGTCTGAAATTAGAATCAGTATTGCAATCAAATATGTGTTACTTTAATACATTATTTACATTACATTATATGCTGAAGATTGTTTTATCAATGTTATATAAATTCTCCTTCATAAATTCATACTATCATAAATAACATTTATAGTTATATTAAGTAATATATAAATATTGATAATAGAAATTGTATATGTCTTATATTAAGGATTTATTTTATTTTATAAAATATTGATTTACACTTAATGTATTTCTACGTTAATATAAATTAGTTAGATTATAGATTATAGTTAGAATATAAGTTAGTAAATTAGGAAGAGTTTGAAAAATATAAAATTGTTTCATCGAACTAATGAAGATCGTAATTTTTAGTAAACATTGATCAAGGATATTATTTAAATAAATATTTATTGCTATAAAAGAAATAATTTATAAGTTTCTTTAAAATATTTATTTGCGAAAGTAACTATTGTAACAATGAAATAACATTGAAGATAATAACACTATCCTATAAGTTATCAATTATTATTTAAATGGAATGAATCGTCATCTATTATAAAATAGTCTAAAAATATTTTCTAAATATTTCAAAGTAATCTTACAATTGCAACAAAACATTAAAAAAATTATTTAATGTATATATGGTTGTCATTTAAAACGTAAAATAATAGCTTTGGATGATTAACATGCGTGCGCAATACAATTCTTTCCTCGTTTTACAATGTCATAGAATGACCAGTATTAATCTAGTAAATATTCTTGATCAAAGAGGGCGTAAAAAGTATGCGCGATATCGACACAGCGCGGAAGGAACAAATTTTCAAAATGGCGACTACAGAGCAAGTGCCGGTTGAGAGCAACGAGGTGCTTACCTTCTCCACAGAAAATACAGTAAGTTGATAGCGATTAGGCGCATTTTGTTTACAATCTTAATTCTACACATCACTTCTCAAATTTTGTTAAATATATTAAATTCCTCTTCATAGTGATTATCTAATTGATTATATTTTTTAATTCTAATTTATTTGGTACTACATGATCCTTGCTTGCTTTTCTGATTCTGGTGTGTGTGCCCCCCGCCCCTTTCTTGTCAAATCAGTGAAAAAGAAAGATAAGTGTTTTTAATATATGTTGTTTAAAAAAACAATATCAAATGTTAAGAATGTATTTATTTAAAGAATTTTTAACATTTATTACATATCGAATCAAAGTGAAAAAAGAGAAATAAAGCATTATATACAATGGAAAAACTACTGCGAATGATTATAAACTAGATTGCTCTCATCGATTCATCGCACGTTGTGAAAATCGTGCTCATCAATACTTACATATGTGTATTAAACGAGCGAAAGAGACGCAGCATTTTTGGCGGGCACGTGTATACCAAAGGAACATTTATTGACCGTATAAATTTCTTTCTACCATTATTAATTTTATTATTCTTTAACTACTTTAATAAATTTTTTCCAAACATTTTCGTAATTCAATTTTGACTTGACAGATTTTGTAAAAAAATTGAAATTTGTTCTAAGTACTTGCATTGACAGTAATAGATGAATAATATTGTAAAGTATTTACTATTTTTTGATTATTTTGATTGATTAAAAATTTGATATTTAAATACAACATATATATATATATAAGCAGCAGTCATAGAAAATTTATAGAGTATGTTTAATTGTTTAAAAATATGTAAATATTTTATTTTGGATCTCTTACTATACATTTTTACTATATGAAGCAATTATATATTATTTTTTTAAAAAAATCTAATAGTTATTTCAAATAACTATTAAAAATTTTATTTTTTTTATAAATTTTTTAAAATAATTTTTAACAAATTCATAGTTTTGTTTATTAACTAATCAACCATCATTAATTTATTTATTTATAAATATATAATTTAAAAAAATTTTCAATAAAAAAATTCTGTTAATATTAAATAATATTAACAAAACAATAATTGTAATTAAAAAGTAACATTTATTTAATATAAATTTTTTAAAAATGTAAATTGAATTATTTAAATCATAAGCACTAACTTAATGAAAGTATACCAAAACTAATTTTAAAATATAATGAAATATTTATATCTGTGTTTTTGAGAATTTATGTTTTTAATTAAGTTACCTTTAATATAAAAAAATGAATTTTCATTTAATTTTTATAGAATTTTTATTAACTAACTTAACTAACATAAACTAACATTCAAAATAATCTTATGTTTCTATACAAATATTAGCTGTAATTAATATTGTAAATTATTATATTATATATTTGTTAACTAATGATAATTTAGTAGCAAATTATCAAATTTTCTATTAAATTCATGTAAACTAGTTGGTTTGTTAACTTCAATGTGATCGAGCAACATTTGTAATTTACTTTAATTTTATTGCTTAAAATACTTTTATAATATGATTATAATTAAGTAATTGTAGTATGTAAAATAATTAAATATAATTTACTTTATTTATTAAATATACATTTTATAGGTTTCTAAAACATTAACATTTTTTGTTGGAAACTGTGCATTTAATACTTTCAAATTATTTTTGTTTTATTAAACACTTTTCATAAATTTTCCTAAAATCATATGTAGGTTTTGATTGTAATATTTTTATGATTTGCTTATTAATTTATTTCTTTTTTTTTATAAATACTTTATGTTCTATGTAATAAATTAATTTTTATAAAATTTGTATTTGATTTTTATTTATTCTTATTTATTTAATAAGATATTTTTATATTGTATTTGGATTTTCTTGTAGACATCCAAAATGGAAATTATGGATGTAGTAGAACCTACAAATTCTGTAACTACTAGCAAAGAAGCACCTTCGATAAACTGTAAAGATTCAGTTTCAGTTGATGATATGACTTCAAGAGATTATTATTTTGATTCATATGCACATTATGGTATTCACGAAGAAATGCTAAAGGATGAAGTGCGAACAGTAACATACCGAAATTCGATGTATGATAATAAACATCTTTTTAAAGGAAAAGTTGTATTGGATATTGGATGTGGTACAGGAATTCTGTCAATGTTTGCTGCAAAAGCGGGAGCAGCGAGGGTTATTGGTATAGAGTGCTCTAATATTGTAGAATATGCAAAAAAAATAGTTGAAGCTAATCAATTGTCCGATGTTGTTACAATATTAAAAGGAAAAGTAGAAGAAGTTACTTTACCTGATGGTATTGAAAAAGTTGATATTATCATTTCAGAATGGATGGGTTATTGTTTGTTTTATGAATCTATGTTAGATACTGTACTTTTTGCAAGAGATAAATGGTTACGACCAGATGGCATGTTATTTCCAGACAAAGCAACGCTTTATATTTGTGGAATTGAAGACAGACAATATAAAGATGAAAAAATCAATTGGTGGGATGATGTCTACGGTTTTGATATGAGTAGTATACGAAAAGTTGCTATCAGTGAACCATTAGTTGACGTTGTTGATCCTAAGCAGGTTAATAAACTAAATTATCTTGGATTTTTATAAATATTATACTACAAATTATTTATTAGATTAAAGTATTTAATTAAAATGATTATTAATTTTTAAAAAATTAATTTTACATAGTGTAATAATACTAATGCAGAAATATTACAAATTGTTTTAAATCCAAATATCAATATTTTATCATATAACTAATTAAAAGCATTTTTAGTAATAAATAATTTTTAGTAATAATAAATTGGCCTTCAGGATTTATTATGAATAATAATTTAACCATTTGAAATATATTATTTACAAATAAGCTTTTTTATAGTATTATATCAAATAAAACAATAAATTTTTTAACTTAATTGATTTATAATTAGGTTGTGACGAATTCTTGCATGATCAAGGAAGTTGATCTATACACAGTGACAAAAGCTGATCTTAACTTTTCTTCACCATTTGCCCTTCAAGTTCGTAGGAACGACTATGTTCAAGCTCTTGTCACCTTTTTTAACATTGAATTTACTAAATGCCATAAACGCATGGGCTTTAGTACAGCTCCAGAATCACAGTATACACATTGGAAGCAGACAGTATTTTATTTTGATGAGTACATGACTGTTAAAAAAGGAGAGGAAATCTATGGTAACTTCGCAATGGAGCCAAATGCACGAAACTACCGTGATCTTGATTTCACGATTGAAATTGAATTTAAGGGCGAATTATGCCAAATACATGAGTCTAACCACTACCGCATGCGCTGATAATGACCTATCAACGATTTTGATGGATGTTACGTTGTGTAGTATTTTTTGAAAGAAAGAAAATAAAATTAAAAATAAACTGATCGCGAGATTTTCCAAACTGTATGTAATTGATGATGGATGATATAATGGAGAATAAAAAAACGTTAATCGACTGAATGGTAAAGAATATAAAAATATCAAGTGCTAATGACTATTCGTTCGTTTGTGTCTATCAGCAATTTGTGCTGGTTGTTATCGTTGTTGCTGCAATTTATGTCAGTTTTACGTCAATCGAATATCTAAACTTCTTTTATGTGAATTTTCATACTTCCAGTGCGATCGCAATAGATATAACTAATAATTTTTAATATATTTTTGTAAGTGTGATCAAATGCGAATAATTCATATTATTTACTGTAATAAAAATATTATATTTAAAATTAAAATTAGTTTTCAAAACACAGTTCTGCTGATAATTACATAAAAGCAATTGTTTTGATCATTATCAGTTTAAAAAAATCTCATAAAAATTAACAATTCAAGATAAAAATTATTTTATTATTTTACCCTTTAAAATATAAATGGAAATTTATTTTCAGAACTATATTATATCATATGTGATAAGTTAATAAAAATTATGGATTTAGTAAAATTCATAATGATCGAGTTAAACATTATGCTAATAACTTTTTACTGTTGTATTTTATTGATAAAATTTTAAACAGTATAGACAAATTACAATTTTATCAGATATTCCCATAGTTTGAAAATAAATTTTATCTTCATAATGTAAAATAAAATTCTAATAGAAACCTTGTTTTCACTATGTAGTTATTGTGTTTGATCTGTATGTGAAATGGCAATAATATATCTTATGATTTATACATACTGCATTGACGTACAATAGTAATAAAATTACTATCTTTGATATAAACATTGTTACTTTTATTATTTTACCTCTATCACATTTCACGAATTAAATAAAATGTTATGTTATGCTGCAAATCTTTTTAACGAATTGGCTAGTTTTTGCGTTTTATAATCGGTTCTTAATTGTATAAAAGACGAGAGAATAGAACGATCCAATACTGCCTGTAAAAATAAATTGAAAATCTGTAATAGCCGATATAAATCCTGAACAATAATATATTTTATTCTTAAATAAAATTATGAATTTCTAAATAGAAAATTATTCTGTATTATTAAAATATACAGATAATTTAATATTATTAAAAACTTTAAAATTTATGTAATCTTAATTTCATTCAATAATTGAAATTTTGTATGCATTTAGTATAATTATTCATTATTTAAATAAAACAATGGTTTTTCTAAATATTAATATTTGTATAGAAAATTTTTGAATTTATAAATATTTCAAATTTGTGAATATTATATCTTATAAATATATTGTAAAGTAATGTTACTCTAGATATATGCATCTTTTTGTAAATTAAATTTTAAAATCATCAAAATATGAACTAAATACTTACGAGTTGATCACCAGAACAGACTTGTTTTAGATTTTCGGGTTTGACAAGCAATAAATTACAAAGAGCATGGAGCGTGTCGAAAAGTATCGTGATAAGTGGTATTTCTAGCTTTTTAACACATTTTCTATACTCATTCATGTCGCAAATAGCGCACATAGCACCAGCTGAATTGAATTGAAATTGATGTAAGTGTTCATAGATAACACGATGGAATCGTATTCCTAGTTCTGTTAATACATTTTCCAAGCTTTTGCCGTCAAATTGATCTCTTATATGTTTTATTATGCTCGATACATATTGACAAACTGTTAAACACGGTGGCGTATTGAGCGTATCGACCATTTCAGTTTCGGGTTTAAAATCAGTTTTTCGTTGCTCCGTTTGTAAGTAACTTTTTACCCAACCAATAATAGCACTAATACTGCGATCTAAACCCGTATCGATTTTTGATTCAATTTGTTCAAGAGCAAATTTTTTTTTTGCCATACAATCAACGTGTTTTGGTGAAGATCTATCAAAATAGTAATATTTAATACTCTTAAATGTTCTTACGTAAAAATGATTATAGTACTTAAGTATGTTCAATACTCAAAAAATTCAATTTTTTAAGAATTTACTTTTCTAATGAATTTATAAAATTTTGAACTTACATAATTAGAGGAAGTATATTTCCACTAAATTGTTCTTCTAATAAGCGTATAATTACATTGCACTGACGAACAACTGTAAAAAAATGTATTTCGGGTTGTATTCTACTTTCTGGGATTGGAACACACTGCAAGCCTAATTCCAAGGCATAATCTACATGTTCATTGATAAGATATTGTAGCGTAATTTCCAGAATTTGCATCGTATTGACAGGCAACTCTAAGGGTTGTGATAATAGTGAGGACCGCTGTAATGCTGATTTGCTTTTCTGGAGTAGAGCTATGGCTAACTCTTCAGAAAGAAAGGTTTCACCACCATAATCATTAATTTGAGTAATATTGATATTTGTACGTGTACTCAATACTGCTTGCAGATCACGTTTAAGTTCTTGAAAACCACTGCTTGACAATTGTTTCTTTTGATGATTCTTTGAATCGTAATATTGTATAAGGAGAGTTGCAAAACTTTCTCTCAATACTTTTATTTCAACACTGAAATGTCAAGTATGTTAAATTGAATAAATATATATTTTTCACTTATAAATATTTACTAATAACAATCCTAATAAGCTTGTAAATTGACAAAATTCTTCATATAAAGTTTTTAAAAAATTTAATTAATCACATAAATTATAATAATATACATTACAAAAATTTATAATATGTAATATTCTATTAAAAATATATAGCATTGTAATCAAATTTAATATTAAATATGAAACATTAAAGTTTAATCTAGTTTTATCAATAAAATTGTTTGCTTATAAAACAAGAATTTAGTTATAATTTTTCACATAAATTAATTTGATAAAAATATTTTCTATATATTAAAAAACGTACATTATATATGAATCTAGATATTTCTGAAATATATTTCTTGTCAATTTAGGTAAATATGTTTCATCTGTACCCATATCAAACTGTCTTAAGGCAATGGAGAGTTTAACAGTTTTCAAATAAAGATCATATAAATTTTTTAAATATTTTTCAGAATCTGTTTGTTCGCCTAATTTAGCAACAACATGCTTTTGTAATCTCAAATGGTAAATATTTAAAATAAATTTTGCCATAACTTGTTCTGGATTAGAAAAAACTTGTTGGATAAGCTTGTCATTTTTAATGCACATTGGTAAAACTTCTTGAAAAACATCTTTGCCTCTAAATGAATTCATTTGACTTTGTTCTATAAAAGCATTTATACATTCTGAATAACTTTTAAAATGAGTTAATACAAAGGCTAATTTTTTCATACGATTTGCATCTTCTATATTTTGTGCTCTCACAAATTCTTCAATAAGATTTTTTTCAATTTCATTGTATTTTGCTGCAATTCTTTTTTTAGCATTATCAAATTTTTCTGAAGGAAGCTCTTGAGCAATCATATAAAGCTTTTGAATTACATCTGCTGACTCATCTAACTAAAATTCATAGAAAATTTTTATATCCATACTGTTTTTGAAATTGATGAAATATAAACATAAATATTTAGTATTTAACAAAATGTATGTAATTATGATATTTAAATAATAATTTACTATTTAAACTTATTTAAGATCATTCAGTTATAAATTACAAAGCAATTAAAGATATATAATAGTATAATAGTAAATGTTTCTTTGAAATGTAGTTTAAAAATATAACTACAACACTTACTGATAATTTATACATAAAAATAGAATCAGTTAGTGAACTAGGTGTTAAAAATTCTGAAAAATATCTCATAAGTTTCTGGGCTTCTACAGCTCTAGCTCTTGGGATATTGACACTTTCTAATTGGTCTCCTAAATGCAGAACTTTTGTTGCAACAAAATTAATTCTTTCATCTAATTGATGAAATAAATCTATAGCTTTTCTATTTCCATTTTGTAAATCCATTGTTTCTAATGTATGTCTAGCCTCTTCTTCTTTAAGTATTGTCTCTAGTTTGTCACATTTCTTTTGCTGTCGATTCTCTAATATCTGCAAATCTTTAATTGCTTCTAAAAATGTTTCGTGTACTAAAATAGGATCAAAAACACCTGTTATTCCATCTTTAGTTGTCTCGTTAACAGTTCGCCATGCTAGTCTTTCAACAAATTCTTCTGGATCAAAAGGCTCCTAAAATTACAAATAATAAAACTATACTTCTATATTAGTAGGTAATTGTACAACTTATTTTTTATAAGTATAAAATTAGAGATATGAATGTATATAAATAAAAATTGATAAAAATTTATAAAAAATATATTAATAATTTTATATTTAATTATCCAATTTTAATAAAATCGAAATTACTGGAAATAAAACCTACTTGTTCTAATTCCTTTATATATTGTTGCATCATCTTGATAGATTACGATGTATTAAAAAAATGTTTAAGATACTTAAATTCGTAAATGATATATTGAATAAAATTCGATAAATTAAAATACGTTAGAAAAAAATATATAGCTTAGGATTACATATATTTGAAATAATTCATCATTTCCCGCATTCATTATTTTAATAACTGAAAATTATAAATAATAATAATAGACGTAATAATGGACAACTTATTTAAAAAATATTTCAGATATATTAAAGACACGAAGTTCGAATTCTAATAAAATCACACGAGTCATAATACTGTCAAATTCGTAAAAAGAATATAAAGAAATGATATAGTATATGAATGTAACACTGACATTTACAAATATTTTGAAAGACATTCACACCTCATATTAAATCAACTTTTATTATTACAAGCTTATAAATTAGGTACATTGATTTTCAATAAGCTACTGATTCTGTTTCGGATAATGTCGTAAAAATTGATAATAAAATAATACTTTAATAATGATAATTATAATTACACAAGTTTAAATAGTAGTAACAAGTTTATATATTATATATAATTGGTAAATACTCATTGAAATGAAATATAACAAAAAATTATTTTTATTTTTACAGATATGATTTTGAAAACTGTTATTAAAATACAAAAATGTCAGCTTATTATCGGAAGTCGTCACCTACAGTTTCTATTAATCCAGTAGGTTAAGGAAAAGCGCTGCTATAGGGGGAAGAGGATTCGCTACTGAAATGTGAATTATAATTTATGACAATGGCATAGGGCCATAATGAGTAATAACCATTAATAAAAATTTTTAAATGTGAAATAAATCAGTGTTGAAAAATGTGGTCATTCTTTTCGCGCGATCCTACAAAAGATTTTCCATATGAGATCGGTGAATCCGTAGATGGACTTGACGATAAGAGCATTTGGAGTCTACATAAAGCCAAAAAGAAAATAGTAATAATAGATTTAACCTTTTGTATTTTATTAATATCGCTTTTATTTGTATTTATTGATTTTATATATATTTATTTATATTCTATTAATTAAAATTTTAATATACCATGTTGAATAATTGTTATTGCGATTAATATTCATTATCTTATTATAAAATTAAAATTTAATAAATGGGTTAATAATATAAATACTACAATTGTAATTTATAAAAATTAAATTTTGTAAATAATATTTTTATAAATAAAATAAAAAATTAATTTTTATATATTTATGACTTTGTAGTTCACATAAACATATGAAAATATATCAATACATGAAAATACAAAAAAATAAAAACTAATTCAAATGTACAGGGATCCACAATATCAGGAGGCGATATTGTGTCAGTCTTCATTTATCAAGTGAAAGATGGTACAGAATATTATTTAGATATTGCAAAAGCTGCAGTAAAAAGATTGAAAACATTGCGACATCCAAGTATACTTGCATATTTAGATAGTTTAGAGGTTGGATGAAACATTTAAGTTTATTAACTTTGTATTTTTAGATTAATCTATTTAATTCTTATTATAGACAGAAAAAACTATATATTTAGCTACAGAAAGGATAGAACCTCTTCAAAAATGGTTATCTAGAGATATTAATATTGGAGAAGATAGTAAACAACGTGAATTATATTTATCATGGGGTATATTTCAAATTACGGTATGTATATTAATTTTTTATAATTATTCAAAATATAAAACAAATAAATACTTTGATTTTAATTTAATTGCTTTTTCTTCTTAATGTTATTTGTAGATATTCACAAAGTAGATTAACAATTATTTAAGTATAAGAAATTTAGATATAAGTATATATTTGTGTCTTAAAATAATTTATAAATTTTAAGAATAAATTTGAAATTGTAAAATATGTTTTATGATCTGTAATTATTTTATATTTTTTCTTATTTAAACTAATTTATTTATTATGATAACATTGGTATATATAATTTAAAATATAAATGTTGCAACAATAGAATTGAAAAAAGTGTTATTACAACAACAATTTCAGACTTTCTATGTTAAAAATATTATATTATATCTAGTTGTTTTATCATTTTTAGAGAGCATTAAGTTTTTTAAACAATGATGGCAATTTGCGACATAATAATGTTAATTTGTGGTCAGTTTTTGTCAATGAAGAAAGTGGAGAATGGAAACTTGGTAGTGTTGAGTATATGACTGGTATTGATGCACCTTATACTTTTCTACCTAAAATACTTCAAATATACCAGCCTCCTGAAGCAAAAGAGAACTCTAAACCAATTACAAAATGGTAATTTAAGTATTTAGAAATTTTATTACACTAAGCATTGGCATATATTCAGTTAAAATTTAAAAAATTCATTTATTCAGTTCAGTCGATATGTGGGGCTTAGGTTGTCTTATTTGGGAAGCCTTCAATGGCCCTCTAACTGTATCAGGAAGTCTGAATACTACAAACCAAGTGAGTACAAATGTTTATATGATTATATGTATTAATACAATAAATTAATATTAATTTTGTTATGTTATATTTTATTAATATAACACTATAAGTCTTAAAAATATTAAAAATAATTTCCAATTAACATTGTTCGTATGATTATTTAAAAAATTTATGTAAGAAATTTTGCTATTTTTTAATACAAATTTTCTAATACTTTTAAAAGAAGCTATTATAGGATCTATTTTTATAAGTTTATAAAATTTAAAATTTAACATGATAGTTAAAATACAGATTTTTCATTAAAACATGGTAAGTAAAATTGTTTAATAATAATATTTATTATAAGTATATTAGGATGTATTGAAGAGAAATTATAATTTTAATTATAATTTTCATATATTTTCTGAAGATTCCAGAACTTTTATTACTGGTGTATGAAGAAATTATAAACAGTAAGCCTATTAATCGACCAAATCCAGCAGATATGATTGTACGGTGTCGCAGTAATATTGGTTTTTTTAAAAATGATCTTATCGACGCATTACTTTTCCTTGAAGAAATTCAAGTAAAGGAGAAAAATGAGAAGGGTCGTTTCTTTTCACAACTTACATCTCAGCTTCACAATTTACCGGAGGGCGTAGGGCGTTACAAAATATTGCCTCAATTAATAGCTGCGTTTGAATATGGCGAAGCCGGAAGTGCAGTTCTCCCTCCACTTCTACAACTTGGACGTACACTTCCAGATGTAGAATATCAGAAACGAGTTGTTCCTTGCGTCGTAAAGCTCTTTGCATCAAACGATAGAGCAACAAGACTAAGATTGTTACAACAGTTTGATCGATTCATTGATCATCTTCAACCTGTTACTGTTAATGAAGCTATATTTCCACAGGTTAATATAAACAAAATAGTTATATTTTGAGATATAGATTTATAATATATACTATATGTATTTTAAGTTGAAATAAATTTTAATTATTATAATTACCATCAACATCACTATGCATATAATCAATATAGATTATTTTATTTATTAGCATTTTTCATTTAAAATAATTCAAATTAAAACAAAATAATTAAAATTAACAGAATATTTGTTTAATTGTTTAAATAAATTTAAATAACAGAATAGTTGTTTAATTGTTTAAGTAAAAATAACACTGCAATTATTTATAAATAAGAAGTCTTTTAAATATATATTAAATATGAATTTACATGTTTTATTGTATATATTTTCAATTTCTTGTCAGTGAAATATTTGAAACAATAAAAAAATTTGGAAAAAGAAATATTTTTGATCATAAAATATGTAACAAATATATTATTTAATAATTACATATATAAATAATGCCCAATTATAATATAATTTCTTTTTAAGTCAATTTATTTTATAATTATTATTGCTATTATTTTATATAACATATTATTCTAAATTATATAAATTATGAATATTTATTTTATTAATTAAAAAAAGAATTGATCAGATCTGAAAAATTTATTTTCACAGATAGCTCGAGGATTTCTTGATTCAAACCCAGCAGTAAGAGAACAGACTATAAAATCAATGGTTCACTTAGCACCAAAATTAGATTATAATAATCTCAATGTTGAAGTTTTAAGATATTTTGCAAAACTTCATTCGTCAGATGAACAAGGTGGAATTCGTACTAATACTACTGTATGTTTAGGAAAAATTGCACAGCATTTACACCCTCAAATAAGGCAAAAGGTTCTATTGTGAATACAATTATTATTCATTAAACATTGTCTTATTAAAATTACAATAACGTTTTTTTCCTAGAAAACATCTTTTTCTAGATGTATTTTCAATGCATATACCAACAAAAATTTATTTCAAAAATTCATTTTTCAAATTTTTTCAAATGTGTCGTTAGATGTCAATTTATGTCGATTAAAATTATCTCATTCTAATTGTAGCAGACGTTAAAAAGTAAATGATTAAAATTTATTGTTGATTTATTACGTTTTGTTAACCTTTATATAATTATTTATTAAAATATATAAACTCTCTACATATAAAAATGTAAACTTATTTAATTATTTGGATGAACTTCAAATTTTGAGTGATCAGTTTGTTCTTTTTTTTTGAGTAATTAATTAATATTAGAAAAACTAAAATGTAATAATTATTTTCTATAATATTTATATAATATTTATATAATAAATATGCAATCATAATTATTATTTCGATTCTTGTGTAATTATTCTATACTTTTAATTCATTTTTTAAGTTTGAACTAATCGTTATGTTTTATATTGTATTTTAAAAATCAGATACTAATTGGTGCTTTTATACGCGGAACACGTGATCCTTTTCCACCAGCGCGAAGTGCCAGTGTCTTAGCACTTGCTGCTACGCAGCAATATTTTCTATTGCAAGAAGTTGCCAATCGAATTTTACCCTCATTGTGCCTATTAACAACAGATTCTGACAAAGGAGTGCGGGATAATACTTTTCGTACAATACAAGGGTTCTTATCAAAATTGGAAAAAGTATCAGAAGATCCAGGACTTCGTGAATCAATGGGTTAGTATTATTGTATATTTAAAGAGAAAGAGACAGATAGACAAAGATAGTAATCAGCAACAACCCTGTTTTGATATCCAAGTATAAAAGTATGATATAAAAATAAAGTAAAAGAAAAATGTAACAAATAAACTAATAAAAAAATCAGTAATCGTCTTATAACGAGACGTGAGAAACTTCAAAATAAATTAAAATTCTTATATAATAGTTTAAATACATAAATAAAAATAAGGAAACAATTAATCAAATGTTTAACCCATACAAAAATTAAGAATATATTTTACTTTTATACATACCGTACTAAATTCTGTATGTATATATATATATATATTTGGCTTTGTTCTAATTTAAAAACAGTCTTAATTATTAAATCTAAATATATATTGCAGTCTACATTTTTGTGATTATACTAGATGGAATTATTAAAAATAATTTCAGTATTTGCATTTACATATGATATAATTCAATGCACTACTAATACATATATATATATAATATTTTCTGTATAATTAATTTTTTTATAGAAGCAGATGTTAATACTGCCACTCCTAGTCTTAGCAATGCAGCAGCAACTTGGGCAGGTTGGGCAGTCACTGCTGTTGCAGCAAAATTTTATCGTAGTCAATCAGATGCTCCAAAATCCTCTACATTACAGAACACGTCAAAAATATTTCTAAATAAACCTGCCTCCTTAGGTATATATAATTTATATAATCTTTATTATTTTTTTTATAATAATTACTACAAAAATAATAAATAGTCATAGATAATTTTGAACATAATTTTATTTGTTAGAGTGTACATGAAATTTTTCAAACAACATAATGTGAAATTAAATATAAATTTATAGTGTTGAAATTTTATATATAGATTTATCTACTTTCTTAACTGCTTGTATTTCAATATTCATAAATGTTTAATAATTAAAGTTCAAAAATATTTAAATTTTTTATAATGAATACAATTATTAAATTAATTATGGCAAATGTAAGCACGAAACTCGATTTTTCTAGAGCATGCTAGTAGTTCCCAAAGCAGTACTAGTACGACGGCAACAACGAGTAGTGCTACCAGTATGGCATCTCTTGATCATGATCATGAACATGATACACAAAATACAATAAATACGAATTCGGAATGTGATTGGGAATGCTGGGATACTGGAGATTGGGGTGATATGGAACAACAAGCGACGACTACTTTGTGTTCTACAAATATGCTAACGTCACACTCACCAAAAAGACAAAATATTCATGAGCATTGGACTAGTCTACAAGAGAAACCAGTTAATTTTTCTTCCCCATTTTGTATAGATAAAACAAATAACCAAAATCTGAATATATGTAAACATATTATTAATTTAAGATGAGAACTATTTTCTTTAAGCTTTACTCAATCAGAAATTCATTCTACTTATAACTTTATATTTAAATAAAAATTGAAAATTAATTTTAACTTAAAATATTTTAATTTATGAATTCTACTTTTAACAATAAAAAGTAAAGTTGATGAACTATAATTAATAATTTATTGACATACTTACATTATAAAATTTAAGATTATATAAAAATATTAGATTGTTTGCAACAAAATTTTTTATTTTTTTTAATGTTTCATTGTACATTCATTATATTTACCCAATGCATTTTTCATATTTTTATGATCTGATGGAGTATTAAATTCATCCAGTCAAATTTTGGAACAATTTGTAGTATTGTTAATCAATAATTTACTACAATTAATATTTTATCTGTCTATCAGTTTCAACTGCTTTATCAGAAGTTAATAGATTATTAATATCAAATGTATTATAAATTATATAAATTACTTTTAGAATTGATTTTCTATTCATTTAGTATAACTTTTTTTATACTTCGTAACAGTGTAACTTCTTTTGTAGACAACAAAAGAAAAACTACATATAATCAAACAAAACATTACTATAAATAAATTATAAAATGCCATATACTATAATATATTTTGATAGAAGTGTAGAATCCCTTTTATTAATTAAATATATATTAATAAAACTAGCAATACTTATAGCAAATAGAAAATTATTATCATACCAAAATTTTAATTTTTGTTAACATTTGGCAAGTCTTTTGCTCATAATTTTTTAATTTAATATTATAATACTGTTTTAAAAAGAACGAAAAATTAAGATATACATAATAATATATAAACAAAATAACAAAATTCAAATAAATTTAAACATGCAAGAATAGTGTAATATAACAGTAGCTTTTCATAATTTGTAATTTTATCTTTTGTCTTATTTAAATTTGAAATATTTAAGAACACATTTTTATAATAATCTTTAACAATAATATGAGAATTTAATGTTGTCCATTGATTTCAATAGGGATTTACATCCAAAAATATCTTTTGTACAATTTTGTACAATATCTTTTATACAATTCATCAAATTTTATTTGATGATATATCTATTTATGTAGATAATAGTAATAAACAATTTTTAAAGCTTAAGCTTCAAATTAATTTTAAAACTTTTAATAATTTTAAGTATATAAGAATAGAAAACGTAAAATAATATTTTAGTTATTTGTAAAATAAAGAATATTTTATCCATTTTTTTTGTACTATCCCAAAATTTTGTTTAACAACTTAATCTAATAAGTCAATTATTTTTCAACAGAATTTTTTACAGGTCTAAGTAAATATGGATATATATATAAAGCATTTATTTTTTATAGGAAGAAGAAGCTGCAGAAGATCAGGATAAAAGTAATTCATCAGAATCAAAATGGGAAGATGACGAGTTTCAACCCTTAGAAAATTTTCATTTAAATGAAACAGGTTTACAAATGCTAATTAATTTTTCTAATCACAGCATTTTTCCAAAATATATTTTTGTATATTTTTACATAGGTAATTTGGAAAATAAGCTAGAAGAGGCACGAAAGAAAAGAGAAGAACGAAAACTAGCCAGACAAAAGCAATTGAAAGCTAAAAGAGCAGCAAAAATGTTATGCAATAACTCAACGAAAAAGCTGTAACTTTTACATTAAAATTCATTATATTTTCTAAAAATAATTAAAATTTTTATTATAGATGTATTAACATATACATACAAACGAAAAATTACTAAAATAAATAGAATTGATCACATCATAAATTTCAAGCACAAAAAATAATTATTGATGTCATTCAGAAATATTATGTAAAATAGTTTTATGTTTAAAAAATATAATTTGTATAATACAAAACATTTTAAGTGTTCCATGAATGGGATCAAAGCAATTTAAAACAAATTTTTAGTTTTTTTTATAGTCGCGACTGTTCGACTGGATTATCATTGATAAATCGTACATGCATAGAATTAGCATTTCCAGTTTCTCTTTTAAAACCTAAATTTTCATAAAACGGTATGAGATGATCTTGGCAGTTAAGTGTAAGTTTATAACATTTTAAAGTGGTTGCTATTTGCTTTATAGCTGCTACAATGAGTTTACCAAGTTGTTTACCTCTATATTCACTGTTGACTACAACATCTTCTAGAAGCCCATGCTGTAAAATTAGTAAATAAATGAACTGATTTTCTATGAAAATTTATTCTATTTATAAAATTTAAATGATTTTTATGTAATTTAAATTCAAATTAAATATACAAACCAATCCACAATTATGAATAAATTTTTGCTCAATTACAAGTGTAGCACTACCAATAACTTTTCCACAATTTAAATCTTCTACAACAACAATATAATATCCTCCAGAAGTTTTCATATTACAAAAACAATCTGTTAAAATTGAACTCATTAGTACGTATTTTACAACAATTAATTTAAAATAACTTACTTAAAAATTGATCCTGTGTTACATTTCCTACTTTAGTTAATTGTTCTAAGAGTTGTAAGAAACCTGTGAATATTAAAAACTAAACTTATAAATAACTTAAGAGAAATAAATTAAAAATAAAAAATTTTACCTTTATCATAATCTCTACTATTAAGTGGTCTAAAAGTGAGATTATCACTGGGTAACTGATTTGATACTTTTTCTAATAAACTAGGATTAAAAAGATCTATACCTATTTTTGATGCCACATCCTGAAATTAGTATTTTATGTATTAAGAAATTAACTTAACTTTAAACAAATATAATATTTTTATAATCATTTTTTAAGAAATAATACATTAAGTTATCTATGAATTATGAAATAGTCAACATTATGTTATAACATAGCAAATTAAGCAGATTAAATTACTTAACAATAAAGCAGAATATTAATTGCGATATAACCGAATTTTGTATTAAATATAAGAAAGAAAAATTATATTTAAAAAACGTAGGAACCGCCAGTGCTTACTTTTAAGGATGAGTACGAACTGTATAATCTCTGTAAACTAAGATGAATAACATAATTCAGAATAACATAACTCCGTTACTTAAAATGAGTCAAATCTAGCAGCTATTTCCAAAAATATTTTGCAATCAATTTCTAAAATCTAAAAATTCTGATATTTGAATATTGTCCCTAACCTGTATGCGTAAATTACTCATTGCTTGTCCGTATGTTGTATCTTCGTTTACGATATATACTAATAATATGAAATTCTCTACTATAGATAGTTTGTCGTTGCTCAAATTTTTAATTTTTATAAACGGCCACTGATATTGAAGTTTTTATATTGATTAAAGTAAATCCTAAATTCGTTTTTATATTTAATAAAAATAGGAAAATGATAAAAAATAAGCATAAATGAATATGGTTATAATTCTTATTAGTAGCATACTAGTGCCCCTTGCGATCAATTACGTAAATTATTGAATATTTTAAAACCAACTTACAATTTTTTTATTAAATTTTGTGTGATTTCTTTTATTTTTTTAGATATTTATTTTAAAAAAATTTAAATAAAAGTTATGATAAACATAACGAGTAACATTCATTTCGATTGACATTGAAACATGAAAAATTACAGAAAAGAATGCCTTTTAAAAATTTTCAATAAAATACAACTTAGTATTTGAATAATTATCTCTTTTTTATATAGATTATGCATATAATATAATACAATATTTGTAAAAAAAAAATATTAAATTTTAGACAAATTTAACTATGTATATATTTTTAATTATTAAATAAAAATTTATATTTTAAAAAGGGTACCCTGTTATATAACATAATCTTTACATTCATGAATGTTTAAGTAAAACAGAAATAATGAATAGATATTTGGTATTTTAATAAAATATTTTATTAAAATTTAATATCTTCAAAGATTTTAATGTATTTAAATTTGTAGGATAGAATAAATATAAAATATATAAATTATAAAATAAATTATTATTTCATGAGCTGTTTTTTATCTACAAAATATGTAATACTTCTGCAGAATCTTTTCTCTCATTAATTAAGACGTACATTTTTTAATATACTACAAAATTTTATAAAAATATGTATAAAAAATGTATAGAAATATTTAATATTTTATTCATTTTTAACAAACAATGTTCATGTGTGGTTAATTATATAATAATAGTATGAAAATCATTAATATTATATTGTAGTTTATTATTTTATTCAATATAGAAATATTTTTTTAATTGAATTTTTATAAGAAGCTTCTCATCTATCAATAGCTAACTGAATTAAATATTATTGTTACTCTTCATATGTCCATCACTGCTGTAAATAATTTTACAATTTTTTTTACAGCGGTACCCTCAATATACAGAATTTGACTGTATTTTCTTTATAATACAAAATTGGAATCCATCATAACCCAAAGTCCAACTTGAATGTGAATAACAAAACCTATACTTAAAACTATAATAAACCTATATATAAAACAATATTTCAAGATTGAAGGAAAGCTTGAGCAATTTATATCCAAATCGATCTATATTCAGTTTTGTACTTTATAATTTTTATGAAAAAATCTTGAAATATATAAATTTATAACATATCATATTCGATCAACAACAAATTATCACAATAATTTGCATATATAAATAGGAAATGCTACATTTTTCTTATTTTTAGATGTGTAGTGTACCAATTAAGCTCAAAGTTGAGCTTATATAGCCAGCAATATTTGTCTTTCTCCTTTCTTCTGGATATTTTAATGTCCTCAATAGAAAAAAATTAAGCCTTTAAATAAAATAATTACAAATTATATTAAAGATGGTATTTATTCAATTGAATTTATTATAGTCAATCCTTAAAGGTTTTATGGGACTAATAAATTCAATTTCTTGTGCATATGCGAATTTTCGACGCTCATCATTTCACCAATGAAACTAAATGTATCTGTTCGTAGCCCTATTTTATTATATTTTTTTATTAATATTTTCCTTGCTTTTTAAATTTATTTATTTTTTTAATTTATTCTTATAAAAGTGTATATAAAATTTTAAATATTTCATTTTCTAAATGTAATATAATAATTAAAAAAAAAAGATAATGAATAAATACATTTCAATTGACATGTTTAATATTTAATACTTTTAAAAACGACAACAAATTGGATATATATAAAAGAAAAATATTAATTTAATATTTTAAATTTGAAATCGATTAAATCTGATATAGAAACCAATTTTTTTTTATAAATATTTTTAAATTTTTTATTTTACATATTGGATTGTCAGTTGTATTAACATATAAAGTCTATATTATACTCCATGATTAACAAAATACAGTGAACATAACCCAAAAAGTGGTTAGTTGAATGATAACATAGTATTGATAGTAAAAATTTTATAATTTAGAAAAGAATATTTTTTAGTATTAATTTGTAATTAGAAATTATAAAAAATGGTTTCTGTTCTAAATACGGTAGATACCGGTCATGAGGATATGATTCATGATGCGGAAATGGATTATTATGGCTTAAGGTTAGCTACGTGTTCCAGCGATAATTCAGTTAAAATTTTCGATTTAAAAAATGGCTCTCAAAGTTTAGTAGCTGAGTTGAAAGGACACATTGGCCCTGTTTGGCAAGTTGCTTGGGCTCATCCAAAATTTGGTAATGTACTTGCATCTTGCAGTTATGATAGGCAAGTATTGAGGTTCACTTAAAATTTTTTAAAAATTTAATATCTATAATGAAATTACATGTGCAATTAAATTAAAACTTTTATTTTAATTTCATTAAATTTTTTGGTATGTATTATTTTTTATTTAAATTATAAGTTTTATTATTTATTGCTACTAAATTGTATTTTATTAATAAGTAATATGTTTCTATTATTTATTAATACATTGCTTTACAGTTGCAAATATAATTTGCCTTAAATGAATTTTTTTTATATGTAACTATATTTTTCATTTCTTTTTTAAATAATTAAATAATCAATTTATTAGGAAAATAAGCATTTGAAGAAATATAATTTTATAACCATAATCCATAATTTTATTTTTTTCATTTTTAATACTACTAAATTTTAGAAAAGTTATAATATGGAAAGAACTCAATGAATGGACAAAAATTTATGAACATACATGTCATGATTCATCAGTCAATTCTACAGCATGGGCACCTCATGACTTTGGTCTTGTCCTTGCATGCGGTAGTTCTGATGGTTCCATTTCTTTTATAATAAATAATGGAGATAATTGGGAAACACAAAAGATCTCAAATGGTCATACTATTGGTTGCAATTCAGTTTCTTGGTGTCCTGTAGTAGAACCAATTTTTGACTGTAATTCACAACAAAGAACACCTATTAAAAGATTGGCTACTGCTGGCTGTGATAATTTAATCAAAATATGGAAAGAAGAGGGTGACAGATGGATTGAAGAAACGAAATTAGAGGCCCACAGTGATTGGGTAAAATCTATTTAATATTTTTGGCGACTCACAGTTATATTTATAATGTAGCAATTATAAGAATTTTTGCATTAATTTCAATTTAAAATGGTTAATAAATATTTAATATTATACTTCATATGTGCAACCATTATTTCAATAAAGTTACAATGCTGTAGAACATAAATAGATATAATGAATACAAATTTCAATATTATTGTAAAACTAAATCTCTATTTTGTTCATTATAATATTTTAATGGTTTTTTTGGATAGATAGATTCAGGAATTTTCTACTGTCAATTTTCTTCATAAAGTGATCAATAAATAAGATCCTAAATTTTGTAATATTATAAAAAATTTGAACTATGAAGTAATAAATAATGAAGGATAAATGTTTGTACTAATTGTTATTCTATTTCTATAAATTATTTGAACCACTAAATTAATTTTAATAATTGACTTTACCCACTATTTAAAATATTAAGATGATTTATATTTAATGTTCATTTTTACTAAAACTACATAAGTGAGTAAATACATATAACATACAAAACAGATTTATAAATTACCATCTTTCGTACAATATTTTTTCATTTATATATCTATATATTTTTTTCAAAAAATAATTTCTAATATACTTAAATTTGAAACCTTTTAATGAAAATATTGTCGATCCATATTTATTATAAAATTTAGATGTTAATAAACATACATAAAATAAAATATATATCCATATATTTCATAACTTTATTATAATATTTTGTAGGTAAGAGATATCGCATGGGCTCCAGCAGTTGGTCCACCAAGGGCAGTGCTTGCATCTTGTTCCCAAGATCGACGTGTTATTGTTTGGACATCAACTGATTATGTTAGTTGGACACCAAATATTTTGAACGTTTTTGACGATGTTGTATGGAATGTTAGTTGGTCTCTCACTGGTGGAATTCTAGCTATCAGTGGTGGAGATAATAAAGTTTCCTTATGGCGAGAAAATTCTGAAGGGCAGTGGATTTGTATATCTGAACTTAACAAGGGACAAGGGAATATTAACAATGCAGATCAACGTACACTTTAAAAAGTATTTTTATACGAAGTTTAAATGAAAAGAACTATTTTATAAATCCATATGTTAGATACTTAATTTGATGCAATATAAGTTTATGAACATTATTAAAAAAATATTTTTTGTTTTGCATTCTTTTACTTAATCTTGTGTATACAATGAAGCTGTAAAAACAATATCTCTTTTAATCTTTGTAGATGCTTCCTCCATTTTCGTTTTAAGAGCAGGATGCCCAATGATGATAGCAGCATTTTTAACATATTGTAATGTTTCATTCAATTGTTGAATACATCTTACAATGATACCTTCTTGAACATTTGTAAGTTCCATTATTTTAGCAAATGGCTTATTACAAGCCCACTCATAAACCACTCGTATTAAATGAAAACTTGGTGGTGGTCTTGGTTCTAATAAATACTTTTTTTCTGTATTCACTAATCGATTGTAAACTTTCATTACTTCTTTTTTCAACTACAAGAGAATTTATATTATATACATATTTTTAATTATTAAACTTTTCATTAAACTAATTTATTATTTAATTTATATAACATACTTCATTTAATTTAGGGATTTCTTCATCCTTTTCTTCTTCATTCTTTCGATATTGACAAACTAAAGAAGATAATATTGCAGCAATTTCTTCTGGTTGCCAATTTGTCAAAACATTATCCAGTACTAACTCTGTTAAGAAGATTTCATAAGTTCCCATTTCAAGTGCGACTCGTCCTTTTAATGTTACTGTAAAATTTAATTTGTTATATGATTTTATTAAATAACACTTATTTATTTAGTGGTTTACCTTGATCTTCATTATCAATATAATTTAATTCTTTGAGAACCTTAACTCTACTTTCATATTCTAAATAATTTTCAAAATTTTTAACACTGAGTTTGCTTAATAGTTCTTGTTTTTTTTGTTCTAATTCTTTCTGCTTGAACACTTTATCAAACTTATCTTCAAAGTTAGGTGTATTTTCTATTTTATCTTTAATAATTAAAAGTTCATTTCCTTTATCCTGTAACAATTTATCTTTTTGTTGTAAATAAAAGTCAGATCGTTTTAATTCGATATATGGTAATATTATAGATGGATTTTTATGTACTTCTAGAGTTATTTTAATTAATTCATTCATTGCTGATTCACAAGATGGACTAGGTAGCGCATCTCTAAGAAAAGTTATTAATTTAATGTACGATAATAATTTTATTAAAATGTATAAGAAATTTATAAACAATTACATTTTTATGTATAATTTTATAAACAGTAAAATAATTTTTGTAACAGAAATTATCACTCTAAAGAATTAGAGAATAATTTTTTTTTTTTATATAGAATAAATTTTCTAATTTACTTACTTAAATCTAGGTATTTGCCGTTTTTCCCAATCAGCACAAATGAACCGACAATTAATATCGATAACTTTATTAGTTACTTCTATAATTGAAGATGCAGGTATAAGTAAAATTTCATGAATTAAATTTTCTTTTGGCTTGTAGAATTTTTTTTTAATTGTATTCAAAATATCATACCAAGTATCTGACTTAATATTAAGCTTTGCTGTTTCTTCTTCACTGATACTTGTTAATACAAATATTTTATACAATATTTTCGTTTTATTTTGAAAACCTAAGAATATACCTAATTTATTACAATGATGTTGATAAGAAATCAATAATATTCTACCCTCAACTAATGCTTTTGTAGCTTTTTTTGCCTCTAACATGTGTGGCCTTAAATCTTTCCACAACTCAAGATATTCTCTCACTGAGTCATAAAATATTTCTAAATCTTTTTCATGCTTGATTGGTACTGAAGTTTGCTTAATAAGATTTATTATTTTTTCTAATTCGTGTTTATTTTTATTTTCATCTGACATAGTTTTCATTTCTTTAAAAGATCTACGCATCATTTCATCTACTGAAATAGCTTCACTAAGTCGTTTTAAATGTAAAACCATTAAATAAGTAACCTTGAATTTGGAGACCAGATTTTGTGGTGCACCAAGAGCCATATACTTCAAGTCCTTTTCAGTTGGTACATTTTTCTTGCAAAGAATAATAACAGTTCCAGTCTCATCATGACCTCGACGACCTGCTCGACCAGCCATTTGAATGTACTCAGTGGGAAGTAAATTTCGAGTACAAATACCATCATATTTATCAGTTGAATCAAAAACAACCGTTTTCGTTGGCATATTTACTCCCATAGCAAATGTTTCGGTAGCAAATAACACCTTAAAATCATGTAAAATAATTGTTATTATTGTATCAGAAATAAAATAAATATTTTATTAATATTTTAAAAATATATTTAAATATTTAAAGTAACACTATCAAATCTTAATATTTAATACAAATTTATATTTTTTTTTTATTTTATAGTTCGTACAAAAAAAGTTAAAGTTTAGTTAAAAAGGCATTTACTTTAATTTTATAAATCTCTGTAATTAGCTAATATTTGAAGTTTATTTATCAACAATACTAATTATTATATTATATTAATTTATACAAAAATTTATAAACATTTAATTTAAATATTAAACTATTTTTATAATATATTACTTTAACAATGCCTTTTTGGAAAAGCATTTCTACTATTTCTTTTAAAATTGGTAGAATTCCACTGTGATGAACACCAATGCCTAAACATAATAATTTTTGCATTTTTAAAACTTGTGGTAACTGAGAATCCGTCCCTTTCAAATTTCTAATTGATTTTTTAAAAAATTCTTTTACATTTTCTTGTTCTACATGAGTTAGTAAACTTTCTGTGAAAGCATTTGCGGTTTTATCACACCTGTTTCTAGACAAAATAAAAATGACTACTGGTAGCTTTTTCTGTAATAAAATAATGGATTTAAAAAAATATTTTCAGCATGAAATAATTAAAATTATATTAATTAATATTTTTACCACACTCTGAAGATGATCTAATAAAGCTAACCACATTCTTTTTTCTTTAGTAGTTATCATATTAAGTTTAATTCTATCTTCCAGTATTTCTTCATCTTCTTTTGCTACTGTCACAGCATTCATTGTTTCTTCAACACTTGCATTTTTCCATATAGTTGTCGGAAGTTTCATTACTAATGACGGTTTATGTTTTGTATGTTGATATTTGATTTGTTGAATTTTTAATTGCTTTTCTAAGGACTCTTTTCGAGCTTCTTCAGCCTCCTTAATACTTAAAAAATTCATCTATTAGTTTTTAATTTTATAATTGAATTACAAATAAAATTTTATTAGAATTTTTTCTATTTTAAAATTAAAATTTTACCTATTTTTTCGGAGTGTGCCATTTTTATCAATGAAAAGAAAAATTTGATCTTTTGTTTTTTTATCATAACCTGTGTAAAGATAATGTTGCAAAGGTACAGGTCTTTTAGAAGTACTTATTACAAACATTTTTTCCTTTTTAATTTGTCCAACCCAATGGGCAAATTCAAGTGGATTTGGAACCGTTGCTGACAACATTACAATAGTTATGGTAGGCGGCAAAAGAATAATTACTTCTTCCCATACATGACCACGCTATATAATTATAAAATAAAAATGTTTACATTTATTTTCATAATTAAACTATTTAATTATATTCTTTTTAATTAACATAAATTTTTAAGTATAAGCATTAATAATTTATAAATTAATTTGATAACTATAATTATATATTTTAAAATTTAAGAGTAATACACGAAATTTTATATTTATATTTAAAAAATGTACATTTGCTATTATATTTAATAATTACTTACATCTTCATTATTTATATAATGTACTTCATCAAATACAACATACTCAACATCTCTAATAACTTCAGCAGCACAATATAACATTGACTGCAAAATTTCTGTAGTCATTATAAGACACATTGCAGTTGAATTAATTTGTACATCTCCTGTGATAAGACCAACATTATTGAACTTTTCTTTAAACTCTCGAAACTTCTGATTTGAAAGTGCTTTGATAGGAGATGTGTAAATAGTTCTAAAAATTATATATTAATTTATGCAATAAATTTTTAAGTTCATACCTCACATTATACTTTTTTAGTATACCTTGTCATATGTTTTTGGCTCATAGCAATAGCATATTCAGCAATTGTTGTTTTACCAGCTGACGTATGAGCAGCAACAAATACATTACATTGTTCTTCGAGTTTAAGAATAGCTTGTTTTTGAAAATTATCAAGTTCATAAGGAAATAACTTAACAGCATCTGGAATTTTTTTATGAAAATCTAGCATTGGAACCATTACATCTATTTGCTCAGCCCATTCTGTTTTCATATTTTTTTTTGGAATTTCTGATATATTTAGAATAGGAATTTTACTTTCATCAAAAGGTTCAATAAATTCATCTATATTTGGTATATTAAAATCAGCACACTTGCTATTATTTAAATTTTCTATGTTTTCTTTATTTTTATTTTCAGTAGACCAAAAAGCCAGAGTATGACTTTCTTCGACTATAACAGATCTAAGATTAATATTATCTTGTTTATATGTTGCCTCATTGTTCATTTCTTTATTTGAATTATATACACTTTTTGGTGTACAATTATCTGACATAAATTGAATTCCAGATCTAAATCCTTTTGCCACTGTTTTTAAATTGTTTTCAAAATCAACTTTGATATTTTGGATTATATCACTATGTTTTAATTTATCAAATCCACCAGGCCAAAATAAAAAATTACTAGTATTTCCTAAAATATATGAATATATTAATATTCTTTATATTTTCAATTTATAATAATTCAAATATACCTTTGACATCTTCAGTAACTGGGCCAGGTGCTCTAGACATTGACATTGAGTTTCGTACAGTTTTTCCTATATGTTGAATACAAACTTCTTGAACATTTCCAATTAGACAAGTAATAGGATCTCTTTCATATTTAACATCTGACCCAACAGGAGATACATCAGTTTTTAAAAGTGTTAATATATCAGGTTCTCTATCCCAATATTGTTGTACTTTGTTAAGTTGATGAATGGGTAATTTTTCTGGATACACTATATATTCTTCTAATTCTGTTTTGATATCTGGTAAAATTGGAGGAGGCCCAAATGGCATCTACAAATATGTAATATAAAAATTAAATTATTTGTTATACATATTTTAATGTTAGGAGAAAACGATTTGTATATACTTCTAAATAATCACTATTAGAATCATTCATTATTCTATAATACTTTTCAATTATATTGTCATGCACAACATAATATAATAACTAGCACTACTTAATCAATCCTTAATTCGGGTAGCAAACATTATAAATATAGTTAGTACATATTTCTTTCCCGGCACTTACATGTTTGGCTATAGTTCTCAGTACTACAAGCGAATGAACTTGGAATAAAACTTGTACAAGAGAGGCAAATATTCAAGAATTCTTGCGTTCAATAATTCAATGTTCTTATTTGTACAAATAATAAAACATGAACATTTTGGTTTTTATTAATCTTTATATACCTTGTTCTATTTGTATATTAGCAACTTTATAATTCTTTTAATGTTAACTCTTACTTTTTAAAACACATTCAAAACATTTTATTGTTAACAATTTTTTAAAGTTTACGATACTTTGAATAATAAATAATATAATAAATTGCTTCTGTATAACAAATAAAAATACATATTATTTTTTAAATTAAAATTTTTATAATTGTAAAAACTATGTGATTTCATTACACACTTAAATACAATCTAATTGCAGCATTCTTAATCTTGAAAAGTGTTAAAAGTTAAAAGAAACTTAAAACTTAAAAGAAAGGATGAATAATTATTAATAATACTCGATATTTAATTACAAAGTAAAATAATAAATAAAGTTAATATTAGTTTTACATTCATTAAAAAACAACTATAACAATGCTTTCCTGTTCAATATTCATTTATGCTTCAGCACGAAATTTCTTTTCGTCATATTTTTTAAATAATTAAATTAAATTATTATGCCTTAAAAAAATAAAACTATCGTTATAAAAATAAATGGGTATATTGGTAAATTTAGAATTTATTATGTAATGCATAAATCGATTTGTAGATAAAAATTTGTTTTATATGTAAAATTTATTAAATATATATATTTATCTTCAACTTTTATTATTTCAAAATTTAATGCTATTATAGTGTTATTTATATTTCTTTTTCTGCAAAAATTTTTTTTATTATTAAAAACTATAAAATAATACAAATTTTTTTAAAATTATTTTGATTTTTTAAATTGTTTTTATTAAAATTATCAATTTATATATACCTCTATTTTGCAATAATAAACATGTTATAAATATGTTTAAATATGTATAAATATGTATAAATATTATAAAAATCTCGATATGCATAAATATTTTTAAATATAATGATATACACGTGGTAAAGGATTAATATAAGAGTTTAAATAATTAATAATATATTAATTTAATATATTACTAATATATTCCCATAAAATACACAACTTTAAAGTAAAGTCGCTTTATCAATAAAATAGAATTTTATTGCTTAGATTTTTATAATTTAGTAAAATTAAAAAATTTTAAAAAAGAATTAAGTTTACACATTTACACAACATATTTAATTTTCTGTAAGAAAATATAACAAAAATAGTATCTACACTGACAATGAGTAAGCAATTAGGATAAACAAAATCACCTATGTATGACGGTGGTCATATTTTCTTTTTTTTTTTTTTCATATTTACCATATTCATATTTCATATTTTCATATTTACCAATGTATATATATATATATATATTGGTAAATAGTGTTCAATTAATTAAGAAAGAGAAAGATCAGGCGTAGATAAACGTGAAAAGAAAAAAAGTTACAATTTTTCTAGTATATTGTATATTAAATGCAGAAGGTGGTATCAATGCTTATTTACGTGTTTGTTAATAGTGCTTTCACTATTCAAATTAAATAATCAGATTAACACATATAACTTGCTTCTTTTGATAACGCACAAATATTATTGTAATTAATAACCAAAAAAATTTTAAATATTGGTATGTTTAATTGTAAAATAAGTAAACTTGTGTAATAATAACTAGATTATTTATACTTGTTGAGTAGGCATACCTAGGAAACAAAAAAGTACTAGTGATAATATCATTCATTAATTAAATTTAAAAATTAATTTCATTTTAAACAATAAATTAATAAATTTATGATTTAATAAAGTTTCTAAATAATTAAGGTAAGTAATTTGCTGAAGTCAATTTATAAAACATTTATAATAAAGTACAATCATCTGTTATTAATATATGCTAACCTTTTATTTTATGTGTCCTAACAACCAAATCCTTAACAAATTTATAAACTTTTATTCTTTTAGACTTAATAATTCAGTCAAATAAAACATTATTTTATTTTAATATTTTGCACAGTAAACTACACATAATAAGAAATGAAATAATATCAGAATATTTACAGATAAAATTTAATTATTAACAAAAATATTTGTTAATAAAAAAATACTATTTTTAAATGAATGTTTCTTTGTACATAAGTTTCTAAAAATATATAAATATTTTTTACAATAAACATTAATCTTTTGTACATAAATATTATTAATTAAATAAACTTAAAAACGAATTAGTACTTAGATTGATATATTTTAATAGCAAAATTGAGAAAAATTGAATGTTTAAAAAATATATAGGTAAGAATTTTTAACAAGTTTGGATTCATTTTTCAACAATGATTAAAATGTATTGCTTTTATATAATGAATTATAAAAAAATTTAATTTCTACATATGCTAAATAATACAAGAAATCATCAAACCATATTAAATTACATTTAATAAATTGTAAAAGGTATGCAAGGATTATTGATTTAGTTTTTTTTACATAAAATATAGTTAATATATAAATTTTAAATACTTCATTATATAAATTTATTTTCAACCTTCTTATTGGTTTAAATGTATGAATCTAATTTAAGAATTTTTATTATTCTAAATAAATAATTTATTTATCATAGTATACAGGAACAAAAATTTATTTTTAACGTATATATTTAAAAGATTTTATAAACTTAATATAAAAATTCTAAACAATGGTAAAATTAGAAAAATATATTCAATTACATTAAAAAACATAAATTTTAATTACATGAAATTTTATTAACAAGTGAACCTACAGTTGATGTTGGATGTAATCTTATTAAAAATAGTATTCTTTTTAAATTGTTTAAGTTGTTTCAATAAATATTTAAAAAATTGAAAAAATTCAATAATTTTGAATCTATTTTATACAAAATTTTAGTTTCATAATATTTTTAATTTTAAAAGTTGGAAGGGTTATTATAAAAATTTGTAAAGAATACATATGAATTAAAATGCTTTTTGTACATAATAAATTTTTGTTACTTCTAAAGATAATCTAAATGTTATCCATATGAATTATTCACTCCTTAAACTTAAACTCTACAGTGTTTGTTTTACTTTCTAATATATAAAACATAAAATATGGCTTAGATAGTGTTATATCTATTTACAATAATGCTGTTATCTAAATGCAGACTGTAATTATATTGGAATTATATAATTTTAAAACAAATATTTATTTTATTTTGAATTAACCAAGAAATGAATAAATATTAAATTAATACAATATATTAACTAATATTTAAAATAGACTTCAATTGACATAAATTTATATTTTAATGCATTACATTCTGTCTGCATAACTTGTTTATCCTTATAAACTTCAACAAAATTTGTTATTCTTTAATAGAATAATTAATGTTTATTGTTCTTTACTATTTTCATATTCTAACATGAACTGTTAAAAAAAAACAGTACTCAAATAACACATTGTTTGACTATAATCACGAAGATGAGTAATCCAATTGAATAGTTAACTGCCTGATTCCAGCTGCTTGAAATATCATTTGTGTATGTGCAATGACATATTTAGGATCAACTGTTCTCGCTACTTCTAATTTCATACAACCTACATAAATGTCAGTACATAAAGTCCAAAAATGTGGATCTTGAACACTATATACACCAGCTAACTGGGTAACTTTATTGTAACATTGAGGCAAAATGTGATCTAATGCTCCAGGCTGCCTTTGCATAAGAATAATCATAGATTCTTTCAAAAGAGGTAAAACACTTAAAAATATTAAAACTGCAATAAACATTGAACAAATTGGATCAGATATCATCCAGCCGAACATTTGCATTAATACAGCAGAAATAATTACTCCAACTGAGCCAAGAGTATCTGCTAATATATGTAGAAAAACACCCTTCATTATTTGTGAATTTCCAGAACCTCCATGAGAGTGGTCAACTTCAATAACATGTTTATGAGAATGATCGTGATTGTGTGAATGAATATGATTTCCATGGGAATGTGAATGTACATGACCACTTCCATAATTATGATTATGGCTAAATCCACAGTCTCCTCCATGACCATGGTTAAAAGCATAAATTCCTATTAAGTTCACTATAAGTCCTAACACAGAAATTAAAAATAGTCTTTCATGTTTAACTTCTGGAGGTTCGATAGCTCTTTCTACAGCTTCTGACATTATAAAAAATGCAATAAATACTAAAAACAATCCATTAACCATACCAGCAAGTACTTCTGCTCGTACATATCCATAAGAATATTGTTCATTAGCTCGCCACTTTGTAATTACTGAAGCTGCTAAGCCAGCAATTAAACCAGTACAGTCGAAAAACATGTGAAAACTATCGGATATTAATCCTAAACTGTTGGTCCAAATTCCATACATAAGTTCAACAAATGCAAAAGTAAAGTTTAAAACGAGAAAAAGAAATAAATTTCTAATAGTTTTATCAGACCAAATCAGTCGTTTCCATCCAAGAATTTTTTCTTTTATTTTACAAATTACACTTGATGAGTCCTTATGTGCCAAAGGAAGCATGTTTATTGTAGCAATGTCAAATCATTTACAAAAGGTTCCTGCAGAAAACAAAATATATATTATAATAAAATATTCAATAGAAACTTAATTAAAAATTTTACTTAAATATTAATAATTCATTAGTAATAATAAAGTTATATGGAATATTTTATTTAACAATTTAATTTGGTCTAATTTTGTAAAATAAAATCTTTAAATCATAAAAAGTTGACTACCTTATTCCAACATGCTTGTTTTATAATTGAATTAATAATTTTAAGTTCAAATAAAGATATAAACAAGCTTAAAAATAAAAATATTTTTATATATAAAATAATTAATATTTTAAATACAAAGTGCATAAAAGAAAAATTAATAAAACCATATGTATATAGCTTTATGCATATCTAAACACACCTTTATCGAAACAATTCACCCATGCATATATATATATATATATATAAACACAAATGCAATGATACAAAATAATATTAAAGGAAATAACACGTCGGCAATCATTTACAATGTTAAGCGATGTTGATCTATTAATTAAATACTTACCGAAAGTAAATAAACAATACTATAATAATTATTTACTATAATAGTAAAATACGTAACTATGGATGAATATATACTACAAATTATTAACAAAAATTATTATTGCACCCGTTGGCTAAAAAATCCAAGAGCACGCCATATTGCACAAATTCTATGCTTTGCCATGTGGCATATATTTTTACATAATATTTTTATTAGAAATTCAACTTGTTATTACTAAATCATTCAAGAATAACCTTGAATTAATTATTTTTATCAAAATAATTACTTGTACCAAGAAATAATATTAATAAACATATCAATTATTCTAATATAACTTACATTTTTAAATACCTGTACAATTAAAAATGTAATTGAAAATTATAAGCGCATAAATTTAAAAAAACTATTAATTATATGTAAATAATTTGTATTTTATTTAAATTGATTGAATTTATTTTAAGAAAATTTTTTATATTTATTGATACTGATATATTATATTGCTAATTTCTAATGTATTAAATGACATTAATTAAGAAATCTTTTTATAAAAATAATTATTATTTATCAAATAAGAAAAAAGAACAAAATAAGTTTCTATTAGAAAAATGAATCATTAAAATTACGATATAAAATATAAGAATAATTCATAATATAAACATTTTATTTTTAATGTTTCAAGTATTAAATTTTTAAACTTTTATAAATCATATATTTAATATATACATCTATTCATTTATTTAAGGAATCAATTTTAATGTAGAATGAATTGATTTTTAAAAAATTAAATTGAAAGTAATTTAATAAAATCATGAACTTCGTTCATTTTTAAATATTTTTGTAATTAAAATTATAATTTATGAGATTCTTACGATAAAGTGTATCTTAATCAATACAATTAATTTTTATGAACAAGACTTGATATTTATCTAGTTTAATTGTAAATGCCTAAAGATTAAGGACTAATTTAAATAAGTGTATCTTACAATATCCTAAAAAGAAGTATTTTTTTTGTTTTCCTTTATAAAGTGTAGTCGGTAATGTTCTTTATATATGTAAGAAAATATATTTTTTTTACAGTAGTTCACATTAATTTTAGTTGAAATGATACAATTTCTGAGATAAGTCCATTAAAATTCAATATCAGTTCAAATATACCAATAATTTACATTTTTTATCAAATATATTATTTGAGAACAGAAAAAATATGTAATAAAGTCACCATATTTGAATATATATAATTTTTAATAAAATCATAATAGAGCCAAGCTCATTATAAGATATTAAATATTAGTAAAATAATTCATTCTTTATCAATTAAAATATTATTTAGATAAATAACAGTAACAAAATCGTCTTCGATATAATAATTTAAAAGAAAACAATAGTTTTGACTACAGTTATATCCGGAAATTTTGAAATTAAAAATGGTGTAATAACTATTTCCTAGTTCTTTCCAAGTACGATTCCATCATGGTGAGTAAAGATAGAGAATATAAATTAAATTAAAACAAAAATTTTTTTGTGTAATTTTATATATGTATGTATTATAAAATATTGATTAATAACTTTCATTTAAATAATTATAGTTATTAAATATATTTACCAAATATTTTAAGAAACATTGACCACTTTAATTTATTTGATATGAGCACATGGTTAATTATCTTCATATCGTTATAAGCTTCAATTCTATTTTTATTTAGATTGAAGTTGATTTTTTAACGTTATTTTTACATAATTAAATTTTTACTATAAAGATTTATTAATCTATTTCTAAATATTACCTACAAAATTCCTAGTTAAACATCGGAAAGTATTTATGAAATTAATTGAAAAATTATTAATTAAATTTTTGATATTTCACAGCCTCCGAAAAAAGACACAAAGGGTTCTTCGAAACAACCACAAAAAACTCAAAAAAAAAAAGAGGGTGGATCTGGTGGCAAGGCTAAAAAGAAGGTTTATTAAATTATAATTTTTATTAATTTACTCTTTTAATGACAAATTTTATTAATTATTCTTAGAAATATTTATTAAATGATGAAATCTTATTTTCTTGAACTTGATGAAGTGTTAAAGCTGATTTAATGAGACTGATAATATTTTTAATTCTTATATTAAATTATAGATATTATTGTAATATTATATAAAATTATTTTAAATTACAGAAGTGGTCTAAAGGAAAAGTTCGTGATAAGTTAAATAATCAAGTATTATTTGATAAAGGAACATATGATAAATTATTGAAAGAAGTACCTGCTTACAAATTAATTACACCTTCAATTGTTAGCGAAAGATTAAAAATTCGTGGATCTTTGGCAAGACGGGCATTGATAGAACTACAACAAAAAGGATTGATAAAACAAGTAGTTCAACATCATGCACAACTTATTTATACCCGAACTACAAAGGGTGATGATCCTGCTACTTAAAATTGGTCCTTGTATATTGATTTAATAATAAAAATTATTTAAACATATTATATTAAAATATTTTCCTACTTTTTTTAATTTTGTTAAATTCTAATATTATTAAAAATTATAATTTCATTATGTAAGTTAGAAAATGTTTTTTCAGGTTTTTAAGTTCTTAAATATAAAATGATTAATATATTTTTTAATTAATTGATAACATGGTTCATTTGTTTACAAAATGACAGTTTTAATTAAAATTTGATGGACAATTTCTGTTCATTTTTTGTAATCATTTTGTGAAGGCTAAAATTACAGCCTGAACTAAATTTTTGTACAAATTAATCAAATGTATCAATAATATGGTCTGAAATGTTTATATTTTTCAAGTGTTTGTATAATAGAGTATAAATTATAAAGAAGAAGCAAGAGGTTAAAGAAGTTACTTCAACTAAAATTTGATATCGATGAATAATCATTGCTAATATGGCCTCTCAACTAATTCCTCGAAACTCCGAAATGCATGCTCTCAAACAACGGGGATATATTATTGGCAAAAAAATTGGACAGGTTATTTAGTTACAGTAATTAGTACGTCATATGATTAATACCTTGGTTCCTACAAAATCTGGATTGGAGAAGTTGACGGTTAAGCTTGATTGTTCATAAAATAAAGAATAATGAAAAATTACATTTATATTTGCAAAACTATAAGTAATTTCCATAATAATGCATTTTTTCTATATAAAAGCAAGGCTGAAAAATATAACCTAATATGTAATATTTTAATATAATAAAATTCTAAGATTTTTAAAAATTAAAGAATAAGAAATTAAGTTTAAAATAATCATTAATAAATATATGTTTAAAATATATGAGTATCTGCAAAGAAAACTAAGGGGTTCAAATTTCATTTTCATTAATACTAATATGAGTAACAATTTTATAAAAATATTAAGATAATTGTTTTTAAAAGATTATTGCACTTCTAGTATTTATTTTCAAAGTTTTCTTAATAATTAACAAAATTATTTTATTTGAAATATTAAATTTTAACGCATATGTACATTATTACTCTATTAATTCATGAAACAGTCTGTTGATTAAAAGAAAATAATATAATTTCTATTGTAGATTGTTAACATTATATTCTTCAATTTATGATTAACTAACACCAACTCTATCATAATATTAAGCATTTATTTTCACCAAAATAAAAAATATAAATAGTAAAACTAATCTCAGGTCTGATTTTTTCAAATTGTACCTGAAAAGAGATTTATTTTTATAATTGTATATAAACTGTAAAAAAACCAGAATATATAAACATTTAAATTTATTATATATATTTTAAATGTTTTTAATTATAGATAATTAAAAATTTTATGTTTTTATAACAATTTAATTTATTTGCAACATTGAATTCGTATTTCTAATCTATATTTTAATGAATTCCAATACATTTCTATCACTGCATTATAATTTTAAACAAAACAAAAATAAAGTGTTTTAAATAGTTATTTATTAATTATTTAAGGTAAAATAAATGATAATATATTTATAAATTTGAAATATACATTCAGTAAGCGAAAAGTAAAAATTAGGTGTTGATGTATTTCGATTAATTTTTATATTTATAAATATAATCTAAAGGTTGAGCAGTGTATTTAGTAAAATAATCATTATTCATTGCATATTTTTATTACTATTTTTAATCAATTATATAAAAATAGGGAACACATGCTATAGTTCATTTATCTGAATTTATTGATGGTACCAATTCAAAGAAAGTGAGATTAGCCTGTAAGATTTTTGATAAAAAAAAGGCACCAAATGATTTTCTCAATACATTTTTTCCACGGGAACTAGAAATCCTGACAAAAATAGAAAATCCTCACATTATTCAAGTACGTTTATTTTCATTTTTAACATTAAATTCTGTGGTGTGATATAATATAAGTATAATATAAAAATTATGTTCCGTTTTAATTAAATTTAAAATAATTATTAAAAACTAAAGATTATAATTAAGTAATTTTTATGCTTTAAGTTTATTTGTAATTATGACTTAATATTATAACACAAGATTATAAAAAATATATACAACCGTTTTAGTAAAATTTATATAATTACGAAGAAATTAAAAAGTGAACTAACTATATAATCTATACATATAAATTTAGTTGAATTTTTAATTTTAATTTTTTAACAGTTACATTTTATTAAGTTCCTTCAGCTATTCACGAAGCTATTAATAATTACTATTAAATGTTCAAAATTATGCAAATTTATATTTTTTATTAACTTAACGAAATTTATATAATTTTTTGATAAATATTATTGATAATAGGTACATAGTATTCTGCAAAGAGGACCACGAGTCTTTATTTTCATGCGATATGCTGAAAATGGTGACCTTCTGGATTTTATACTTCGAACCGGGCCTGTTCCAGAACAACAATCAAAATTATGGTTTTGGCAAATGGCATCTGGTCTCCAATATCTTCATAAAATGAACATAGCTCATCGAGATTTAAAATGTGAAAATATTCTTCTTTCAAGAAAATTTCATGTTAAATTAGCAGACTTTGGATTTGCCCGTTATTGTGTAAACAGCGATGGTCAACGAGTGCTCAGTCAAACGTATTGTGGTTCGGCTGCTTATGCTGCACCAGAAGTTGTAGCTGGTATACCGTACAATCCAAAATTATCAGATGTTTGGTCTCTAGGTGTTATTCTTTATATCATGTTAAATGCTGTAATGCCTTTTAATCTGCGAAGAAATAAGATTTTGAAAGATCAAATGAATAAAAACTGGTGTTTTCAACCACATATACGAGATATTGTATCTCCTTTAGCAAAAAATATTGTTGAGCAAATACTTGAACCAGATATAACATTGAGATTAACTGTTAATAGAATATTGGCACATGAATGGATTTGTAACAAAAAAGATAAAAGCAGCTTTAATTCTGAAAGACTTGTACATTCAACTCCACCTACACAAGTACTGCCTTAAAAAATATGCTAAATTTTTATAATTGTTGATAATGGTTTTATATTCAGTTTATGTATTATTTTTACTATATATATTCAGAATATATATTCGATCAAATTATATATTAGGATTAAAAAAATTTATTTAATAGATGTTTCCAATTTTGTGTACACAACAATATGCAAAAAGCAATTACAAATATCAATTTATTCTACAATTATGGACTAAATTAATAATTTTTTGTTATATATATTTATATATAAATAATATTAATATAATTTATCGCACATATTTAAATGTGTATAATAATTAAGTAGACATTTTTTTATTATACATAATAAAAAGTTTATATTAAAATGATAACAAATAATTTAAACAATTGGATATTATTACTTTATTAGTAGTCTGAATCATTTAACAGAGCACCATCCTAAAAATGTATTAACAATACATATAAATAGATAAAAAATGACTACAATTGTATTATCGAAAATAATTTGAACATCAGATTATTCAAATTATAAAATACAGGAATTGACAATAACGTTAAACACATTTAAAAATTATATTCGTTTATACATTTCTAAATAACGAAAATCTTTCAAAATAAATTGTATGGATAAAATTGATATATTCTAATTTTTTATTCTTATTCCTCTACTAGGCACTTTATGAGCATAGAAAGAATAGTAATGTTATTCTTTCTAACTTCTATTTCAATATTGTAAAAAAATAAAATCATGAATATGATCATTAATATATTAAAAGTTTACATTATATTATATAAAGTATAATAAACAAATTATATATTTACAATAAAAGTTTATAAACTTCCTCAATGTTTTAAAGTTTATAAAATTTATTTAAAATGTAAGCATTTGCCGATATATCGGTTGATTATTTTCTTTGGTTGAATTTTAATCCCAACCACCTGTAAGTTTATGAAACATCTCTTCGTTTAGTGTTTGATTAGCTTCCTTAGAACGCATTGACAAGAAAATATAACCACCAATAAATTCATGTAGCACTTTGCAGTCAGCTGATTGACACTCGAAAATTATATTTTCTTCTTCAAATTGAACCATCATATGTTTTACTTCCCAATTAACATTCCATGCCTATAAACAAAATAAATAATGAAATTCTCATATTTATAGATATTATTTTTTATTTTAATATCGAAATCGTAAATATACCTTCATAGTGTTATATCTCCAAGTTTTTAAATGATCACCAGTATGTTGGTCCATTCTCATAACTCTGTTACTTGCAATACCTAATAATTCATCTTTATTTTTTCCAGTAAATCGAACAACGAATAAGGATATTCCGTATTCTGGTAACGATTGCCACGCTTTAATATAATTTAATTTAGCTTCAATTAATGGTAAATTTTTAACGTTTGCATGTGAGTCAAGAATTCGTTGAATCAACTAAAAATAAAATTATTTAAAATGATTAAAGATTATATCTAAAAACGAATTTTTAATGATCAATAATAAGGTTTTTCAGAATTCTAAGATCTCTATTCTCTATCTATTAAAAAATAAAATGCATGTTCATGAATTTTTAAATAAAACCAAAATTATGTGTTCAATATAAGAAAATAAATGTTTTTAATTTTATTTATAAAACCAGAACGCTATTTTTATGATTATGAAGATATTTAAATATATTCGCATTTAAAATACAGTTAATCATTACGTCTTAATCTAATATGCATATCACATTAAATTTGAAGAAATAATTCTCAAGATTTTTATGAAGTTTGGGTTGTTATTGAAATGATATTAAGAACTTACACATCTTTTTATTTTGTAATTTGAGTATAAATTTATTATTTCTTACTTTATTTTATCAATAAAACGTTATGTTTATAAACCAAAATAGTTTAAATTGTCTTTTATCATTACATTTTACTATTATATTTATTAATCTTTATTAACAAGAAAAAAAACCTATGATGTTGATATTACTTAAGTTTATTGAAATAATGATTTAAAGTTTTATACGTACATCGATTTAAATAAGTAGTGTAATGAAAAATTCATTATTTCGTTGTTAATTGAGAAGAATTATTAAAATTAACCGAATTAATTTTGGTGTTACTTACTTTTCCTTTAAATTTTTTGGCAAATCGTGGTGCAATGTACTCTTCTGGAATAATATCTCCAAGTGAATTAGGATTAATTGCTGCAGCAGGGATAGGCCTTTGAAGTTGTAAAAATGCTGTAATACCATTAACTTCACTTTCATAAGAAGCATCAGCAAGAGTACGACCTTTTGCTGCAAGTCTACATGCAGCCATCCACTTAGCATATTGTTGTTCCTGAAACAAAAATTAATTTAAAAATAACATTGTTTTTTAAAATAAATAAATTAATTTATACATTAAATTAAAAGTAAGTTATAATATAAATTTATGCTGTTAACATAATTTCAAATTGTGATCAGAAAATCAAGATTCTAAAATATAAATGTATTTAAACTTTACAGATTGAATTTCACATTATAATTATTTCAAATGTGAAATATTAAAATTGCTTAAAATTCCATTAAATTAGTAAAATTAAAAATGGTGTATAAATATTTATAATATTTTAATTAGTAATTTTTAACAACATTTCGTAGATAATATATAGACATAAGATAAAAAAGTACAAACCGTATCGCATCTTATTAATATTTCTACCATGCCCTCCGTGCTTGGCACTTCAAGTCTGATACCATAGCGTCCTTGAGATAGATGTACCTCTGGTGTGACCTCGCAGCCTCTGAGATTTATGATATGCACGGGTGTTTCAGAATTATTCGAATCTTCTTGAGCTTTGTAAAGTCTAAGCTGTAAATCACGACAGGTAAACCAATAGCGCTTAAAAGTTTTAAGAGTGAATCGCTTAGGTTTGAAGAAACGCAGATAATCACATAGCTCAGGTATCTGAGTGATATCACTCGGCCCATTGCTTATATTACTGCCCTCGAGACTAACTTGTAGATCCGTTAAAGCTGCATCTATATCGTCTTCAACTGGTAACTGTGATCCGCTATTTTCGTAACTTGACTGAGGGATACTTGCTTGTAAATTTACCTGCACCTATAAATAATTAAAAACCTTATAACATTATTTTTGTAATATAATTTTTATTCTTCCTTCCGTATAGTAATATTTTAAGAATGTAGTTATACATGCCAATATATTAAATTGCTCAATATGTTTGTAATAAATTCTTTTTAAAAATTAAAAGAGATTTTAGAATATTGGCATGCACAAGGAATTTTATGCTCATTAAAAATCATGTTTATAAACGCTATATTAGTCTAAAATATATCTAAAAATTCTGTTAAATAATTTTCAAAGATATTTAGAACAATTAATTTGATATAATAATTAATTCGACGATTAACTTAAATTAATTAAAATGAAATAGAATATTGACACACTTGTAATGCAGCAAACATTAACATTTCATCCACGGTGCAGTCAATCTCTTCGGTCAGGAGCTGCCACTTAGCCTGTTCATAAATCATATTGATTCTGACAGCATCGATTTTTGGATTAAGATCATAAAATGAGTAGAATTTGAATCTAAGATTTAGCGTATCATACTCGCGTATTGCCTGTTCCATAATCGAGAGAGACGAATCTAGCCAAGCGACGTTCATACGCGCTCGCTCGATAAGGTTTTTGGGACGTAATAGTTTGGAGCGAATATCCAGTGATACAGATACTGGACTTTGAATAAGAAGTTCATTTAATCCATTGTTGAGTGGCTCTGAATTCATTGTGCTGTTATTGGCATTGAAAGAGCTTATGCTACTAAAACCAAGAGTATTGTTGTTTCGTTTCCAAGTTCCTGTATGCTGCAGAATACATGAAAATAACTTTATAAATTATTTTTAAAATTTATAAAAATAAATTTAATTTACTATTTTTATTATTTATTTATGAATTTAAATAGTATATTAAAAAATTACAAATTAAATATAAAAAAGAATGCTACATTATAATAGAATTTATTTAAAGATTATAACTGCAATACTACACACAATAAGATTAATTATTTATTTATATAGAATCAAAACATACTTTAAAATAAATTTATTTGATATGTATTATTATAGAATTTAATTACACCATTATTATTTATAAGATCGAGAAAAAAATTCATTGTAATTAAAGAAATATGTTAAAGTATACACAAAATATAGGTATCTAGAATTTATATTAAAATTTTTTTATTAATAATGAAGAATATTATCTAATCTATATTTGTACTAATTAATATTAATATATCAAATCAGCCTTGTTAAATGAATATCTTAAGATGTACAAAATATCGAATTTTGATACAACAAGATACAAATACAAAATACAAAAATTTTATTCTTTTATTAAATAAAAATAATTAAACTTTCCATTTTTAATTGGACTATATTATAAAATAAATTATTAATATTATTAATCCGGTTTTGAGTAACATTTCATTATAAAATATAACACTAAGATAAAATTTTCTATACTTGATATTTGATTCCCAATGTGTATATTAAAAGAACTTAATTTTATCTTCAAAGGACTAAAATTAGTATATATAAGTAAATAGTACTTAAATAATAAAATCACGCGTGTAATGTGATCCTTTATTAATACATTAATAAAAGATTGAATACAGCTTCTCGAAGTCGATATAAGTAATCAATTTATTTTCCGTAGAAAGTGGAGTTTAAAAGAAATGAATACTCAAATTAAATGAATCTGCTATACACGAAGAAATTAATATGCTAGATGGTTACGAATTAAATTAACTGATTAATACCTAGAAGATTAGAAACTGTATTCAAACAATTTTTAAAAACCATGTTTATGTTATATATCTCCGATTTTTATTTAATTTACATTATATAATTACGACATGATTAAATGCTTGTATCAAATCATCATATGAATGGATGACTGCATGGTCCAGTTAGCTTACATAGCTAATAAGTTTAAAAATATTTTTCGACTTCAAAAAAATATTTTTGTTTTTGACAACAAATAATTGCATATTCATGAAAGCTGTATAGATTAAATTGACAATTGGAGCTCATGTTTTAAACAAATTAAATCATGACATTTCAGTACCATATGTCAGTCTTTCTTTTTATATTTTAATGTTAAATTATCAAAATATTTTAACATGCGATTATAAAACTAAAAAAATACTTTAGTTTAATAAAATAATATTTTAATGAAATTTAGTATCAACTTGCAAATGAATTTTTATTCAAAATAAAAATAATGTAATTATAGTGTTCTAAGTACAATAATATTTTAAGGAAAATTTCATATAATCTTTATATTAATCATTATATCAAATGATGTAATGAGTAAGAATTCTATTGATACAGGTATATCTGACATTGTGTAAAATATGATTGCAAAAACATAACGAAATATACATATGCACATGCGTATGCTCTTAATAATTATCCTGATTAACTATGCACTAGTCAGAGATTTGTTCTTTTGAAACATTTATCCTTCTTCTTTCTACATACACTACACAATACATTAATCCTCCACTCACATACTATGATCCTAATAGAATTGTGTAAGAATCTCGTGGAGTTTTAAAAAGTCAATCTCTAAAAACTGCTCTAAACAGTTCAAATTTTAAATTTGTAAGCATCGAACATGCTGTCCATTTTTTAGATTTCATCTATTACCGCGACTGGAGTTTAAAATTATAACTTTAATACAATATCATATTTATAAATATTATTTGAAAAATTTTTAAATTGTTGAAATACTTCCACTACATTATGGAAACAGAACCTAATAAGTAATACAATTAAACATTATTATTAAATAATACCGGAATGTACTAATTGAAAATTAATGTAAAAAAAATTTTCACCAACTTGACAAATCAGTCTAAGCAGTGACATTTATTACTATACAATAGTAATATAATATGATAATTTATTTTTCAACGCTGCTAAGCAAATACCACATTACGTTTGTATATATGTGTAATGATAAATATTATTGAAAACAAATAAATATAAAACCATTTATTTTCATTATATGAATAAATTAACGTAACAGCATAACCTTCTTTGAAGACATAAAAATTACTATAGAAAAAGAATTAATTAAAATTTTAGTGTTTATATCTTTGTATATAAGTTATCATTTATACGGAAAAGTTAAAATATTAATTAACAAATAGGGATACAAAAATAACGCTATAATCATAAATTTGTTTGAATAATTAAGTAATGTTATATATTTGCTAAGTATATTCAAAGAATTTTAGTTTCGATATTAACTGTTTAATATAAGATTGTATGACTAATATAAGTGCTTACGATTACTCTTTACAATATTTCTCGATTCTTTCAATGTTAATATAAAACTAAAAGAAATTAAAACGATGAGGTAAAAAATTAATTCAACCCAAATTAAATTCAGTTATAAATGAGATTTATCTTGTCCTGAAAACATGTAAAGAAATTTTAAAACTAATCAATGCTTTAAAATTAGGTTAAGTTTGTTTTTAACTTGTTACTACATTCTTCAGTATAATTCCTTGACATAGTTTTTCAACTTATTTGTATAGAAAAGAAAGTACAGAGTTTAATATACCGAATAAATATATGCGGATATAGATTATTTCACAATTTATTTTAATTTCTTATATTTTACAATATTTAATATACATCAAATAATAGACTATTAAAGAATTGAAGTGGATAAAGATAACCAACAACGATAAAAATATTATAACAAAAAAAAAGAACAAACAAAAATTTCATGTTCATTGTTCATACAAAATATACTACTCACAATTTATTAAAGATGAATGTGATAATTTTATAGTTATTAGCAGATTCTTAAAAACAATTTTATCGATGAATCTGCTTTCGCAGCATTTCAAGAAATTTGCAAATTTCCAATTTAATAAAAATTATCAAAAAGATGTTTTTTTCAAATAAAACTTAATTACCCCCTATGTTAATAATTTTTCAAGAATAATTATTTTACATTTAATTTCTTTCAATTATTTAATAAATGTAATATATAGACTGATTTCATAATTTAAAAAATAAAAACAATTTGATGTAAAATTTAAAAACCTGTGTATTTATCAAAATTATCCAATCCTTTAATTTGAGCTATAACATGATTCAATATTTTGAAGATTTTAATTATCTTAAGTCTTGGCTAGTTGAAAATAAATACTATAATTTTTTATCCTTAGCATTAATAACTCTTCAACATTAACTGTTATCGATTAATGCTAACTCTGAATTTCAAATAAATTCAAATCCATGGCTTTTATTGAAAATGCTTATTAATCTTGGATATTTCTAATCAACTATTTAATAATATCTAATAATTATCAACAGTTTTAAAAATAATAGAAATTTCTTGTTGAGAATTTTATATTGCAGCTGTGCAACTAAAATATGTATGTTTGGATTCATTCAATAATTTAAAATTCTATTTAAAAATAGAATATTTTTTACTATTAGGAAGAATTACCTTTTACTACTGCAAATTAATAACTTCTTAAAGGTAATGTTGCCCTATATTTATTATATTTTATATAAGTATAAATATATATATATATATATTTATATATATTCCAAAAAAGTTTTTGAGTATAAGCGGAATTATATAAATTATAAAAATATTTGATGAGTGCTTAAATATCTACTAAATGTCAAAAATATTTTATCTGGCAACTTTAAAGTTGCAGCCTAATTAAATATTCCCGCATATGTCTGAACTTTTAGTAACATGAGTATTATAAGCATTTTATTTTTATACGTGGACATTACGATCGCAAAAAAAAGAGATAATTCAGCTATTCGTTGTAATTATATAAAGTATATCGTTACAGGCGAGTTTATTGGCGTGCTGTGGTTATTTCTGTGATTGCTTGCTGTCATCGGAGTACATTTTAATGCATTCTGCTGATCGAGGCTGCTCGTAGAACCTTTAGCACTGTGCGTAGCTGCTTTAAAGGTATTCGTATCAGCAGCTACGTAATAACCATTTTTCTGACTTTCAATTTTTTTTTTTGGCTGCAAGTCCTTCAAATTGTAGTTGAGGTGGTAGGCGTCTAGAGGTTTACAAAAAGATAATTCTTCGGGATGTCTAATACCTGTGTAAAAATCGAATTGAAATGTTTCGATATAAATTATTATTATTATTATTATTATTATTATTTTATTAGTATTATTATTATTATTATTAAAGCAAAAGTTTCATCCCTTTTATTTACTTAGATAGTTTGTATGTTAATTAAGAATTCGAATTTTCAACAAAACAAAAAAATGGAATTGAACGAAACCAGTTTTAATTAAACAAAATTAGATAATTTGGTAAAATAGTTCTCAATATTAATTATCTTAATTAATATTAATAAAATCACATATTGTAAAACACTTTTTTAAAAAACAATTTATTTACTTTGATAACTTATTTATATATAAACAACTTTCATTATTCATAATTAATGAATTTTACACAAAACATTTGTGTAAAACTTTTCATGTAATTATTTTAAATCAACGAAAGATGCGTTATTGAAGTTTCAATTAATATCCTAGATTACTTTCCAGACGAATGACGCATGTACTACATACAAATTCATATATTTGTTAGACAGGATTTCGGATAAAGTTAGTAAATAGGCTAAATCAAATTATTAAGCTTTACTAATACAACGATTTGTTGTCCGAGGAGGTGGTAAACTACACGCACGCTACAAATGAACTAATTTATGAAGTATGACGCATATAAATCAAACTATTTGAAATAATGAATTTCTTGTTTTTTTATTTTGTATTTCATAGATACAAATAAAAATGTTTGGTTTTCATATGAATAATACTTACATTTGAATTTACATCATTATTGTCAACATTATTTATTATTTTATTTATTTATAATATTTTCTTTGATTTCGCTTTCATATTTAACGTGCTTTACAATTTTATTTTATTTATCTTAAATATGTAATATTGTAAAAATGATTTTCATATAATTAAAAAATTTGCAATTTTTAAAATATATTTTTTAGTTTAAATAAACAAATTTTAAATTTAAAATTGCTTTATATTTGCTTTTTCTGTATATTAAGCATTGCAAAAAATTAAGAAAATCGGTGTTGTATAGGAATAGAACATATACACGAACGTGTAGATATATTTACTAGTATACTAACATAGAATTCGATGATCCTTTTATAGACTTCAAAAATTTAAAAGTGGAGAGAGACGAATGGTTGATGGATTTGGTTAACTAATTGGCTACTATACAATTTTCAAACTCAGCTTACTTAAATAAAAGGATTAGCGTACTTCCAATAAATAATAAAATTTAAATTACAGTTAGTATCTATGACTATTTATTATTTTTTTAAATTTACAAAAAAAAACTATTAAGTAAATTAGAATAAATGATATTATGATTTAAGAAAGAAACGTTATTGTTTTTTTTTAATTACCTAATTGTTTGCAAAGATTTATGACGGTATTGAAAGTCTTTACAGAAAAGTCGACGCGATAATCGAAATATCGCATGTCTGGTAGTTGGACTCTTAATATTTTGTGCATCGGTGTAAAATCAAGAATAGCATCGGCTGCCACACCGTACTGATCAAGAGTACTTCTCGTCCTAGTCAGCCAATGATTGCGAGCTGGCCACCATAGTGCGTGATCTGACCAATCCATTGCTATGTCTGTAATTACGAATAAAATATATAAATGTGATTTTTCTTCATCTCATAATCTAATCAATAATTTTATTTTTGTCATTGATTAGATAATAGCAAAATTAAAAAATATTTTAAAATTTAAAGTAAATACATATGTTATCAAAAAAGTTCAGGCATAAAATTGAGTTACGATCTAATAAAAGGCATTTTACAATGATGAATAAGAATATAAGTAACTTATTTTTAAAATATGATTTTTTAATTATCAAGTCTGAATTAATTTCCAATTAAGTATTAGTATCTAGTAAATATGATATTTGCAATAATAGACTTTTTCTTTTATTTATACATTATAGAATTTAGAGTGACTTGTTTTCATGTTATATCCTTAAAAAAAAATTAATTTTTTACGCAAAGAATTTGTGCAAATACTCATTTAAATTTTCATAAATCAAGAAATTATTTTTAGACAATTATATTTAGACAATTATTATTTTAGACAATAATTATTTTTAGAAATACAAGTGAATAAATTGATTAAACTTAATATTCAGTGTAAACATGTTTGATTACGAAATAATTTTTAATAGATCACACGATGAGCTGAAATATGCATACCGTAAAATGATGGGCATTAGCGCAAAGCGAGTTGCTATAACCTAAACCGATAGTATGTAATGAGTTTTTATCTTGTGAAAAGCAACCATACGATCCTTCAAATACAAATTTCACCATATGGTGGCACAATGCCTATGCATGTTCAAAAAACTTTTCACAATAACATTATTCGTTAGGATAATCGAAGTAACACTTGTCTACTATTTTAAATATTTAAAAACCTATTTAATTTGTATTATTGTATGTTTAATTTTAGAAACTATCGCTTTGAATAGAGACGAAACTTCTTAGAATGCAATTCAAGTAATGCTCGAACATAAAATCAATTATATAAATAATATAAATGTAAAGATTTATTATCCAAATTATAACATATCATTATTTTAATATATAGAAAAAATAGAATAAAGGACAGATTTTATGTATCTTGTGTAACAACTAAATATTATTATCAAATTTTTCTATAACTTAAGTACGTTAATGCAATTTTCTAATACTTAATTTGACTAATTGCAATAGTTTTATTGCAATATTTATAATATCTAGGAGTTTTGGAAAAATGGATTGTATCCATTCATCTATCATGGTATTGGCTTTTATAACATTTAAAGTTATATTAAAAATTATCTATTAATTGATTATTTTATAGTTCCAATTATTTATAATAAAGAACGATTACTCTTTTTATAGTAGCACGAAGATTTATATACATAAAAATTAATCTAATCTAATCTAATGTTTCGAAATAATTTTTTTTATATTCCATATAATATGAAGTTATTTTCATTAAAATTTTAACAAAATTATAATGATTTAAAAGTGCAATCAAATAATGTTTCAAGTACTTTGACAAATCTATCTCTATGGTAGTAAAATAATTAAAACCAATACAAAATATTATACTAATAATTAATATATAAATAATTGATGTATACAAAAGAAATAATAAAATTAATGTATAATGAAATAAGTAAATCAATCTTTTTTAACTTACCTTTATTTAATCATTATAATGTAAAATAATTTCTGAAATAATGTTCCTAGAAAATAAATATTAATAAAGTTTTAATATTTGTACATTATGTATCATTAAAGTATATATATACGTATACAATAATAAATGTTGTTTTAAATATGGTATGTCTATCTTCTAAATAAATAATCTATTACTATGCTTAAGTTTGTATCAACTTTGAATGTTTTTAAAACTTTTCTTGTAATAATCCATTGGTAACAAGTGTAAATAATTTTTCTCTATTAATAACTGGTTTACATATAAAAATTATCCATTTATATGCTTTTTATATTTATGATAATAAATTTTTCTACAAACATTTTTTTTTTTATAATTTATAATTCATATTTTTTAAATAATACAGACAATTTTTCATTCAGTCTGGCGCTTTATAATACGAATCAAATTTAATAATATTGAACATGTATTAAAAACTGTTTTAATTTAATTAACAAATGATTTAAATATTAATAAAGTATAAATTTAAGATGCTTTTTATTTCTATACGGGGTTATGACTTCTCAGTTTGCCTTCGTACAGCTCGCCTATTTTTATTATAATCTTGTTCTTCTGTCGATAAATTATTTTGATAAATTGAGGCGGTGAACCGTTTATTTCTGGTAATAAATTCGTTATAGTTTATTTCTTAAAAGTACAGTGAATGTTCCCATCTACATGCATGAAGAACAAAAAAGAGTATAATGTGGAGTAGTAGTTTTGGCGACGCTTGGTGGCGATAGTTTGTAATCACATTAGTGGAATTAAACTACTTTGATGGATGGTGCTCTTTTCCATTACCATCGTAGATGTCTTCTACGAATCAGTTTATTCTAGTCATTTTGTCTTTATCTTTCTCTATCATTTCTTACACTAAGTATATATCTGTGTGAATTCGCTGGTTTAAATATCAAATAAAGCGAAAATAAGTTGTGCAGAAATGTATTATCCTAACATCTATTAAATACATTATTTAATTTATTCTAAACCGTTGCAGTAATTTAAAGTATAGTTACATAAGATGTTCATAATTTCTAAAGTGTATGAGAATACCAATATAAAAAATTTCATTTGTACATTTCAACTAGAATTCTTATTAAAGTATATAATATAATACATAATCAATAATAAAAATGAAAATATGAGTATTTTAATAATTTTTAACATTTTACTCCTCAATCATTAACTTATTTACATGAAATTTCGATAGACGTGCACGAATCTAACTTAATGATCACACAATATATTTATTCGTATGTATGTTCGTATTTATATTTTTCTATTTATTGCTTATTTTAACCACATATAAATGTATTTACACACGCAAACGCTACAAATCATGGTTAGTTCACAGAGAAAACTTTTCAACTGATTTAATGATATAATATAATTATCAATCATAAAGATTATATTTTATAAATATTAAATTTAGTACTAATAAATACAAATCACGTTATATGCGATTAAATATAAATAAAAATATGCAATCTGACAGAATAGAATAAGATTGTGGCTTTATTAATAAGTATTGTGAACCATAATTACTTGTCAACATTGTACTCTTTCTCCATAATATTTGGTAAAAAGTTTGGCGATGATCAGACAAGATTTTGATAAAAATTTGGATAAAATATAGATAAAAAAATCGAATATATAAATGTTCGTTATATATACTTTTTATATTTTATGTATATTCTTTATTCATTTTGTACAGCTTTAATCTAAGCAATATTTATCAAAATGTTATTCATTTCATATTTAAGAATTTTATAACTGAATATCTCATTGATACTAGGATAATTCTGTATATAAAAAGATACAATTATTATTATTTTTTTAAATAATCATATAATATGGTATTTTTATTTTCATAATATAATGCTTTATTATTATTTCCGATGTATATCGTGACTATTTTATTTATATTTATATAAATATATTATTAAATAGAAGCTAATAAAATAGTAGATATTTCTAATTTATAAAAAATAATATTATTATACACAAAGTAAGCATTTTTAATCGGTAAATTGTATATATTAAAACATGTAGATTATAATAATTATAACAACTATAGCATATACATATTTAGTAGTATTTATGCCAACAATTTAATCAATACTTGTTTATATATATAAAAAAATAGACGATCATCTAATATATTACTTTTTTTTCATATCCTGTTTCTGTATGATCTATAATATAATGATAATTATACAACATAAAATTGGATAAAAACAAAATTAAATGAAATATCAAATTGTATATTTACATAGTTTTAAATCAAAATGGATAAAGGCTTACATTAATTTGCTAATGTACAAATTTATACACTAATCTATGCATCTGTAAATGATACATCAGGCACAAAGTTAGGTCAGCATCTATAAGACAGGAAGTAGGCTGGGACTACAGCGAAACAGCATCACTATTACTAATATTGTTCTTTGACATTTGTATTTTCAGATGCTTGGTTAATTTTAGAATACAAATCTCTGTTACTATATTTGGAAGCCATATACGCACAATAAAATAGAAATTATAACCGGACAACTTTTTTTATTTTCTCATGACCACAACGATATCGAAGATACTTAATGTATTTACAAAAGTACTATGTAAGTTAGACCAAATTTTTGTGAACCCCTTCTGGATGAATATATAGTATATCTATTTTTTATTAGCATATCTGTATTATCGTTATATTTTATTGTTACATATTTTTGTTATCATATATATAATATTAATACGCTTATGTGTATAAGCAAATTAAATGATATTTAAATGAGATTCTCTAATTGATAGAAATTAATTTTACATTATTATCTAAAATTAATGTATAAAATTAATCCATATGATAGTCAATATTGAACGCTAAATATTATAGATCCAAAATAGAAATATAGCAATGTTGGGAAAAATAAAATTAAAAATTCAGCTTATTTACTTATTAAACTTTTATTAATCTGATTTTAAAGTATTATATTATCTAAATTTATACAATCTTTTATGAAATATATTTCATATGGTTATATGATAAAAATTGAAAGAACATTGCATTTCTTTTAATTATTCAATTATCAAAATTAATACAATTAAAAAATGATTCTTTTGTAATTTATATAAATGGAAGATCGAATAAATAGATTATTAATTAGTTGCTCAATTTATGAATATGAAATCATACATGTATGCAATTAATATTTCATTTTGTTAAAATATTCAAAATAAATTCTATTTATAAAAATCTATGTTATTTTATATTTGGAGATTTATTTAATTTAATAAATTTATGAATATTCTTACCAATTTTGTCAATACATCTGTACTTATCTTGTTTATAAATAAGAATTGTAGTAATGAAGTTAAAAATACATATAACTTAGTCGATAAA